GTCGGGGAACTGCTCCCCTCTACTTGGATAATGAATAATGCTCGAGGTCAGTCCAATATATATGTAAGTACGTAGAAATGCGGAACCCATAGGCGAAAGTAGCGGCGGAGTATTTCGGATCCGAAGTACATGTAAATAAACATGAGGCGCTGCGGACTATGGGAAAACATGTAATAGCGCTGGCTACAACGTGAGTAATGTGCGAAATAATGAACTACACACCTAGTGGGGCTAGCAAGACAGGACGGGACACGGATAGGACAAGTGCGCGGGAAAACATCGGGTCCGATGCGGCCTAAACGTCGGTTTGGCGGGTTAGCGTCGGATAACATCGGGAAGTGATTAGCATGTGACAGGTATTTGGCGTGTACTGTGAAATAGCTCGATACGAGCCCAGCGCCAGCTCGTGTCCTACATCGGGCATGTGTCGACAAATCTAGAATACTGTCGAGATACGCACCTAGGTTCGTCACACCGTCACACGCCTGGCGAATCGAACCTATTTTTCGTGACGGTCACACCAACTCTGAGGCCGTCGAACCTAAATTGTGACAAGTGGTAAAAACGCAAAAAAAAACATCTAATGCATCCAAAAGTCTTTGTACTGAGTGTTCGCAACACGTCTGCGCTTGTGACAAGACTTTACCATAACATAGCGAGAAGACATTGCCATGTTGCCAGACGGAAGTCAAATTAGAGACGAAGCTCTTGAGGTGAGCATCTCCAGCCGCGGGTCATGAGGATCACCACGGCCCCTTAGCGCTGCATGTATACAAGGGAATGTGTCTACCCCAACATTGGTCGTCGAACCTAAGCGCAGTGTGTCACGCGTCACACCCCCCTGCGAACCTTCGAACCTAATGTTCATTTGGTCACACCCAGATTCGGTCGAACCTAGGTGCGTATCTCGACAGTACCATTAGATTTAGTCACAAAGCTATGACATTCCTCCTTTTCAGATGATGAGGGGTGGTAGTAGACTTATCCCAATTATTTCGTGCATTGTCATTTGGCCCTATTTATTTGTCCCATTACAATGCTATTCAAGCCCGAATTCTCGTGAGAAGATACCTTTAGCGGACAACTTTTGAAACTAGCTGTACCGCTTCCAGCGGCCTCCGCTTTCAACAATACTACATTAAATATTTTCATCCCCTCAAACAACGCTTTACATGTTTCTGATTGCCGCTTATTGCAAATGTAAAAGTACAGCAGCGCTCTACAAGGCATCAGCGGGATCAATTGTGCTACAGAGCGCTGGAAATATCTACTAAGTCCAACATTTGTATATGTTTGCTCACGTGACGGTGCGCTCACAAAAGTTCAACTTGAACTTTTCTTCCCTCGCTGCTCTCCCTTGCTCATTGCTCTCAATGACACGACGACGACAACGACAACGATACAACGACGACGATACAACGACGACGATGACACGACGACGATACGACGCGACGATGACACAGCGACGACGATACGACGACAATGACACGACGACAACGACGATGCGACGGCGACACAACAACGACACAACGACGGCGACGATGCGACGACGACGATACGACGCGACAATGATACGACGCGACGACACACAACGACGATGCGACGACGACACGACACGACAATGATACGACGCACAACGACGACGACGATGAGACGCGACGACGATGCGACGACGACACGACACGACAATGATACGACGCACGACGACGATGCGACGATGACACAACGACGACGACGCGACGATGACGATACGACGCGACAATGATACGACGCACAACGACACGACGACGACGATACAACGACGATGATGACACGACGCGACGACGACAATGATACAACGACATATCTCTCATCATCTGGACCTACTGAGACTCGTGTTCCTTGATATATCAAGGGTATGGTAGACGGAATGATAGATATATAGATGTTCGCCGTTTATGTCAGATTTAAAATTTAATGGAATTTGCTTGATATCATTTAATTGAATTGGAAAAGCTGCCTGAAAATACCGTGCTAGTATTGTCATGAATTGAGATCCTATTTACGAAAATTTGAAAGGAATTAAAATAATTGGACAGATTGCCAAATCATCAAATTCTTGCAGATTTGTGCAAGTTGGATCGCATTTCATCCAATTTGAGAGGGAGGTTTTTCCTGAGTAGCTTTGACATCGGAAGCAGATATAAGAAAATGAAGCACACGTCTTTCCTCTATAAGGTCAAACATGATAATGTAACGATCGATGGCAGAATTATGCTGATGTGTGCGATTGTGTACTATATATTGTGATATATGGCCTTCTACTTTCTTCACCGGTTCACTGATGCTCGACCGCAGTATTTCCGCTTACGGCGCTGCGAGCCTCGCACAATCGGCCAGGCCTATAGCCACCTCGTATGGCCTTGTTAGGCCTGTCAAGACCCGGGCGGTCTTGCTGATGTCAAATTTGTCTCATTCACAGCAATGTCAAATCTTCCCCTGCTTGGTTCAGTCGACCACAGTTCCCGCTACGATGCAGCCCCTAGCGGAAGCAGTGATGACGATCTAGCTTCTCCTCTAGATGACATTGATAGACCAATTGTGGAGAAGAGGCTTCTCCGTAAGTTAGACCTTCGAGTAGCCTTTCTAGTTCTAGTTTACATTATGAACATCGTGAGTCGTCAGCGCACCTACTTGTCCCATGACTGCCTAAAACGCCTGCGCAGATGGACCGTACTAATATAGCGTAAGCGGGCCTTCGAAAACATATGGGATAAAATGGCTTAACCACCTACAAGTGCAGCGAGGCTGCGTGGCTTCGAAGAGGACCTTGGAATGACGGGGAATCAATTTAATACACTCACCAGCATCTTTTTTGTGGGGTATCTATTCACCCAGGCTCCTTCGTATGTACGGACACCCTATCATCCTGCGACATATCTAATAATTTGAAAGCAACATGATCTTACACCACATGAAAAGGCCATCATTGTACCTCTCGGGGTGTATGATAACATGGGCTGCTATGACCATGTGTATGAGTACGTCGCACGGCTTTCACTTGATCGACATTGGCTGACGAGGGATCATGAAAGGTGCGGTACAAACGTTGGTGTCTAGATCTCTTGGTGCCGTCCACTGTTAACGCTACTTCTAGATATCATGCCGCTCTTATTTTGCGCTTCTTTATTGGATTTGTAGAGGCAACATTCTTTCCCGGAGCTGTATTTCTTCTTTCACGATGGTATAATATTTCAATACATCCCAATAGCATGCGCTGAAGTTCCTCTAGGTACAAGCGCGATGAACTAGGGTTACGCACAGCATTTCTTTTTTGCGGCACCTTCGTCAGTTATGCTTTTAGTGCTCTTATTGCGTCTGGAATTTTAGCGAGCCTAGACGGTGTACTAGGTTTTACGGCTTGGAGGTCTGAGCCGAAATGCGCTTACTTCCAAAAAGTCAAATTGTTCTGATTTTTCCGCTGCAGGTGGCTCTTCTTCGTGGAGGGCGCTTTGACACTCGCCACTGCAGTGTGTGCAATCTGGATTTTACCCGATTTTCCTTCAACGCCGAGCGTCTGGCTTTTGCCCGATGAACAGACACTGGCCAAGCAACGGATGGAGGAAGAAGTTATGGCTAGAATTGAGCACGAAGGCAAGCCCGAAGAGAACTCCTCTGGCCTTGCCGAGGCTCTTGTGGATTGGAGGGTATGGTGGCTTGGTGTTGCTCTTAATTTGCTCGCTTCCTCGGCATCATTCTCCTATTTTTTTCCGACACTATCCGCTACAATGGGTTACAGCGCGACGACAAGCCTCTTTCTCTGCGCACCTCCGTGGATTTGGGGACTGCGACCTCATTTTTTGTGGCCAGGTCGGTATTTACTTCATATAGGTCCGATAGGTGAATTGACAATAGTGAATCAAGACATTCCGACATAACTGGTGATCGCTTCTGGCATATTTCCGGTCCTCTACTCGTCGGCATCGCTGGGTGTATTATTGCAATTTCTACAATGAACACGGCTATGCGATATTTGTCGCTGTGGGAACCCTTCTTTCCTCCTGTGATTACACGGGTTTACGTGCTCCACACAGTTTCCTTATGGCTCAGAGCCCAATCGCCTATGCTGTCGCTTTGACCTGGGTCATGAATACCTTTTCTCAGTCACAGTCGCAACGCGCTGCAGCCATCGCACTAATAAACACCATGGCATCAGCTGGCTCCATTACTTCACCGTCAGTTCACAGCGACCTCTTGCTCTAGCCGATACTGACACCGTCGCAGATACTTTTGGCCGTCCAGTTGGGGGCCTTCATACGTCAACTCGTGTCTTATTTGCATCTTGACAAGCGTCGTGTCCATTGCGATGTACTGGGTATTTAGGGAACACCTTTCCCGGTGTAACGAAGCTGCTGAAGCCGAAGAGCAAGTTCTAGGACTACCCGAGGGTTTTAGATATCTCCTCTAGCGCATGGTCGGTGACTGATAGGATCCCGTCAGTGAGAATATATAAATGTATACGGGCACACAAATAAGATATTCGGGATATCTTATTTAGTGAGTCATAAATTGATTGATGACGGAGAGCTCCGTTGTACTTGTTTTGGCTTTTATTGTCGGATCGATGTGATAATTGCGCAGAAAACTGGCTGTTGACCTGTGCACGATAATGGTATTCTTTCGCGCAGAAATAAGATACTAACCTCCGGACAGTGGCAGACACGAATCAGCAACTTCAGTGTTGACAATGCATCACAACGAATCATGAATGACACAGTAATCTATGGAAAGCCCAGTGCTTTGCATTAAAAAGTTGTAGTTTGCTGATGCACCTCTTCTTATCCATGTTTCTGCTCAGTGAGTGACCCTTCAAATACGGGTAAACGTCCAAAGGTGAACGGCTCGTTTGTAGTAAATATTTGAAAAGACCACGACGAAACTTGAAATAAATACAACGGAATTCTCGTGCATCCCGCAGACTAATACCCGACAAGTGTCAATCGTATCGAACATCTCCCATTTTACACACTACTGTCAGTTTCTACACGAACTCTTTCTTGGAAAGCAATTGAAGTCATAGCAGTTGCTGTATCGGAGTCGGCCACGAGCTTGGCGTGGTATTCTCGAACGCCAAGGATGAGGCGTGGTCCTAGCACAGACAGCTGCGCAGCGACGAAGATTTGAGTAAAACCATAATAAATTTGAACGTCCAGGGAAAATGCATTCTATAGAAATGATGAATCATGGTCGCATGTAGAGGTTGGTGACAGGTCGGCGTACCGCTACGAGCGTTGGAGAGAATAAACCGATACGGAAGCAAGCATTAGCAAAAAAGCTAGCACGTGAAGAACGTGAGTGGACGAAGACAACCGCATTTAAATTATGAGCCCACCTCGCAAAGTAACTAACGTGAGTTTGCATCAACACCGTAAAACAGTCCCCGATAATACCTCCTGACGAGTGTTGTCGCAGTTCACGGAAGTGCTTCACAGCAATCCAGACTGCGAGACACAGTGCAAGGACCTCCCATACAGTGGCAAGTACCCAAGTCATGCAAGCCAAAAATGCGGAATCTCCCGCATACTCAGTCAGACACAGATAGGTGCCTGAGAGAACGAATTCCTCTGGTACTTGTCAGATGCACTCAAATATTCCATACATAATGAAAGCTTACCTCCTGAAGTATCCATCGTCATTATTGCGCCCATCACTACATTGGCGATTCTGGTGGCCAGAAAAATGACAACGAGAAATATCAGCACCTTTCTAGATCGCTGATACATGGCATGCAACCGAGTAATCATGATGACTTGCATGGTGTTTCAGCCAAGTCAAATCATGGAGGTGTAATGCTCACCGCCTAGTATTATATTTACAACCTCGTCCGTCCAATCAAGTGCATTGAATATGACGAGGCCTGACGAATCCAGTAACTCGATTAGTTCTCGGCTTCTCGGATTCGCAAGGTCAAAAAACTCACAACTGTGGGTGTCGTTATATTGAACCAACGAGTTGTTCGAGAATCTCACTCACCCCTACATGGTAGTTCAGTCGTTCTGATGGGAGTGGAAGGCATTGATGTGGAATACTCACTGCATCTGTCACCGAAAATGTTGGAACACTGACTGTATGCCGCCCGTCACAAGAAAGAAACAGAGTCTATGCGAGGAGACATACACAATATGTTGATCCTATCGTGAGAGATGGTTGATGAGCGTAATACCAATGGCTTGAATGTTGAAACTTACACAGCGTGCCCTACTGCAACATAACGTGCCTTAAATATGTTCGCATCAGTACAACTTGCTAACCACACTTGAAACACAAACTACTATACATACAACAAAATACAGAACGGTCATCAGGGACCAACGCTGCCTCTGCCGTAAATTAGTTGTGTTGTTTCCATATCGTTCTTTTGATGTGGGAGTGCGCTCACCCAGACCAGTTCGACCTATAAAACTACTATCAGCGAGGTGACTGCTCCTGCAAAGGTGTCGACCTACCTCTTGTCCGAACGTGAGTCCTAAAAATCTCATGTTAGTGATCTTTTCATGCTTTATGTTGCTCACCCCAATCGTACATTACCCCAGCAAAGGAGGCAACTGCAAAACCGCAGCCAAAAGTTAATCGAGCATTACGGTCATCATGCAGCTGGCTCTGAACAAACCTATAAAATAGCTGCTGATAAGATTTCCATTGATGACGGGCCACCAACTGGGATCATTCGAGACTTGGGTCATACTATTAGAGGATGAGTGTGAGCCAGTCGGGGAACTTGGTGGATATATAACGATTGCATTCGTGCTTGATATACCACCATCCGGCGCTTCCGTGAATTAATTAGTAAGGGAACGTGTATCCAGGTATCGATGAGATCAACATGAAAGTTGTTCATAAAGTCGCAAACAGCAATTAGCACGCAGAATGTTCGAACGCCACAAAAGATCGAATTGTTCGTGATTAAGTCTGGCAACGTGCCATGGCAAGCTAGTGTGATCTTCGAAATACAGCAAAGGGATTATGAAATCACTCCATTGTTCTAACACAGGTTTGAACAGCACTCACTGAGGTTGCCATCACAATTTTCTCTCAAGGTTAGCAAAGTTTTTTTAATCTTGTTTGAATCCGTTCTGATTATCAGTAAAACCTTTTTTCTAATTCATGTACACACTGATTAGGACCAAAAGTACATGCGTCGTATCCGATTCCTCGTTATAAAACACGATCGACGTATGTGGCGATGAGGGCAGTCGTACAAAGAAAGTGGGAGGATGTACAAAGAAGAAAGGGGCACTTATACAAAAGAGGAAGGTGTTGCTGTACAAAGAAAAACTGACCAGTGATTTAGACAGGAACGGAGGCAGTAGGGGTGAAAGCGGTGACAAAGGGGCGGTGACGGTACACGCTTGAATGCAAAGTTAATGAATGTGTGATGATCCAGTTTGGTGGTTCGTGAGTAATGGTGGAATGGGATGGATGCACCGGTGGATAGAAGATCAATCTCGTCGATGAGTTTGAGGAGCAGATAGCTGGTTGGGCGAGAGATAATTAGAGAGAAATCTGCCATTCGTTGAAGGAAGAATTTCCTCCATCCGTGAAAAACTGTTCCAAGGGGACGTGGAGACCGGTACTGATAGGATCAAAAAAATAGTGAGTGTGAACGGCACGTTTCATGGCACGAGCGAGAGTGACGGTGGTTGCTTGAAACGGAGAACGAAGGTGTGTGCATGATCATGCACAATGGCGAACAAGCGAGTGTGTGCATCCTAATCCTACTAAATACAAAATGAAATATAGGTCGTCAGAAGATACAAGGTGAGAGACATGCAATACATACCTTTAATAATTGGCAAACGAAAAAGACAGGTCAGGCCTCAGGAGTGCTAGTGAAGCTTTGAAGGAATGGGTGGGGTGGAGGCGAGCAGGACGGATATAAAAAGACTTGTAGTTGAACAATTCAACAAATTACCATAACCCGGTCAATTTGCAAAAAGGCGACGGCAATAGAAGATTAAGAAAATAAGCAAACATAAGTAAGAAGCGACCTGCAAACTACGAACAAAAAAGACTCGTCGAGTCAGATGAAGTAGAAAATACCGTTTGGTGAGATGAGGGCGTTCCTGAAACGGTCGGTCACGCACCTAGTCACGTGGTTGTTCGGATTGTAATGCCCGGGCCGCTTTGCTCATTGATTATCGCAGAGTCCGCGGTTTCTTATCTACTACATTGGCTATTTGTATCATGTTCTATGTAAAATCCGTGGGTTTGTTTTGTTACCATTTGTCCGATTCGTCTAGTGTTTACCACGGCGGGTTTTCATTATATTGCTCGGTTACCGACCGTAAAACTGCAGGCTAACACATCTAGGTGCTCCGAATCTCTCTTATTCACAGGAATGTCAGATCTTCCCCTGCTTGGCTCAGTCGACTGCAGTCCCCGTTACGATGCTACCTCTAGCGGAAGCAGTGATGACGGTCCAACTCTTCCTCTAGATAACATTGACAGATCAACCGTGGAGAAGAGGCTTCTCCGCAAGTTAGACCTTCGAGTAGCCTTCCTAGTTCTGGTTTACATTATGAACATCGTGAGTCGTGAGTGCACCTACTGTTTGTAACTACCTCAAATCCCTGCGCAGATGGACCGTACTAATGTAGCGTAAGTGTTCCTTCGAAAGCATCAAATGGCTTGACCACCTAGTGATCTACAAGTGCTGCGAGGTTGCGAGGCTTCGAGGAGGACCTTGACATGACTGGGAATCAATTTAATACACTTATCAGTATCCTTTATGTAGGTTATTTGGTAACGCAAGCTCCTTCGTACGTTCCGATACCTTATCATTCTGCGGCCGCATATCTGACAAGGACTTGAAAGCAACATGATCTTACACCGCATGAAAAGGCCATCACTATACCTGTCGACCTGTATGATGGCATGGGCTGCCATCACCATGTGCATGAGTACGTCACACAGCTTTCATTTGATCGACATTGGCTGACGAGGGACTATGAAAGGTGCGGTACAAACGTTGGTCTCTATTTTTTTGATCCTGCTCATTGTTAATACCACTCTAGATATCGTGCGGCTGTTATCTTGCGCTTCTTTATTGGATTTGTAGAGGCGACATTCTTTCCCGGAGCTATATTCATTCTGTCACGATGGTATGATATCTCAATACATCATAACAGTATACTATACTAGAATTTCCCTAGGTACAAGCGCGATGAACTAGGGTTGCGCACAGTATTTCTTTTTTGCGGCAACTCCATCAGTAATGCTTTTAGTGCTCTTATTGCGTCAGGAATTTTAGCAAGCCTAGACGGTGTACTAGGTTTTACGGCTTGGAGGTCTGAGCCGAAATGCGCGTGTTTTTCAAAAAGTAAAGTTGTCCTGATTTTTCTGCTGCAGGTGGCTCTTCTTTGTGGAAGGCGCTTTGACCTTCACCATCGCAGTGTTTGCAATCTGGATTTTGCCCGATTTTCCTTCAACGCCGAGCGTTTGGCTTTCGCCAGAAGAACAAATACTGGCCAAGCAACGGATGGAGGAAGAAGTTGTGACTAGAATTGAGTACGAAGGCAAGCCCGAAAGGAACTTCTCTGGTCTTGCCGAGGCTCTTATGGATTGGAGGGTATGGTGGCTTGGTGTTACTCTTCATTTGATCATTTCCTCGACGTCATTCACCAATTTTTTCCCAACGTTATCCGCTACAATGGGTTACAGCGCGACGACTAGCCTCTTTCTCTGTGCACCTCCGTGGATTTTGGGAACTGCAACCTCATTTGTTGTGGCCAGGTCAGTATTTACTTCACGCAGGTCCGATAAGTGGATTAAAAATACTGAATTAAGGCACTCCGACGTAACTGGTGATCGCTTCTGGCATATTGTCGGTCCTCTACTCGTTGGCATTGCTGGGTATATTATTGCAATTTCTACAATGAACACGGCTGTGCGATATCTGTCACTGTAGGAACCTTTCTTTCCTCCTTCTGTGATTCCATGGGCTTACGTGCTCCACGCAGATTCTTCATGACTCAGAGTCCAGTGGCCTATGCTGTCTCTTTGACCTGGGTCATGAATACCTTTTCCCAATCACAGTCTAAACGCGCTGCGGCTGTCGCACTAGTAAGCACCATGGCATCAACTGGCTTCGTTACTTCATCGTCAGTTCGCAACGACCTCGTGCTCTAGCTGGTACTGACGCTGTCACAGATACTTTTGGCCGTCCAGTTGGGGACCTTCATATGTGAACTCGTATCTCATTTGCATCCTGGCAGGTATCGTGTCCATTGCGATGTGCTGGGTATTTAAGGAGCACCTTTCCCGGTGTAATGAAGTTGCAGAAGCCGAAGAGAAAGCTCTAGGGCTACCTGAGGGTTTTAGATATCTCCTCTAGTGCGTGGTTGGCAACTGATGGGATCCCGTCAGTGAGAATACATATGAATGGATACCAGGGCACACAAATATTTGACAAGTCATAAATTGACGATGGAGAGCTCCATGATGATGGTACTTGTTTTCATGCCATCGAATTCTATGGTGGGATTGATGTGCTAGTAATTGCGCAGAATACTTGCTATCGACCTGCTGATCTGTACATGATGTCAGGAATTCTAGTCGCACAGAAAGAAAACGCCAACCTCGAGATACCAATCAGCAACTTCAGTATCCACAATGCAATGAATCACGAATGACACAGTAGTCCGCTTAAGTACTCAGAGGAAACTTGAAGGTGTGTCCAATAAACGAGAAAATAAAGGCGTCGCCGCCTCGGACGCAGCGGCAGAGTGACTGGGACAATGGAAGCTTTTGTCCCTTGAGGTTGTGAAGCAGAGTCATGTTAACGTCACTACTATGCAAGATATTACATAGAGAGGGTCTGATTCGCACGCAGCGGGGTCGGAAGCAATCTTGCCTAACCTAGATACTGCATAGTACTTACGGTAATCCGATGACATTTAAGTAACATTAAAGTAGCTTCCGGGGGCAGCGGACTCAGCGACCGCCATCCGACTTGACTGCCGTAAAGTCATGACGTGGTAAAGTTATTTTTCCGAAGGTTCAACTTGGAAGTACGGGCGTCGGGTATTAATCTCCAACTCGATATTATCATGATTGAACCCGGAAGACTCCACGCATATATCGATCCTTGGTTGCAGAGATGGAAGCCATCATCCTCGGGAGTATCATATCGCCCCCTACTTGCTGCAGTCGACTACGGCTCCCAATACGATCTTTCTGGCAGCAGTGATGACAATCCGACACCTGTTTTGGATTACATCGACAGCTCACTTGTGGAGAAGAGGCTTCTCCGTAAGTTGGACCTTCGGGTAGCCTTCCTAGTTCTGGTTTACATTATGAACTATGTGAGTTGGTGTACCTCGTGTTCCCTTAACTACCTAAACTCTCTTCACAGATGGACCGCACTAATGCAGCGTACGTGGCCTTTCGAAATTGCGTGGAGTAGAGTTACTTAGCTGCCCACTTGCAAGTGCAGCGAGGTTGCGTGGTTACGAGGAGGACCTTGGTATGGTTGGGACTCAATTTAACACACTTACCAGCATCCTTTATGTGGGCTATTTGTTGACGCAAGCTCCTTCGTATGTTTCAACACCTTATCACTCTGAGCCATCTCTGATAATTCCAAAGCAACATGCTCTTACATCGCATGAAAAGGCCATCACTATACCTCTCGAGCTGCATGGCAATATGGGGTGTTCTCACAGTGTTCATGGGTACGTAACGCGTCCACTTTATCGACATTGGCTAACGAGGGATCATGAAAGGTGCGGTACAAACGTTGGTACCTAGATCTTTAGCGCTGTCCTCTCTTAACGCTGCTCTAGATATCATGCAGCTCTTATCTTGCGCTTCTTTATTGGATTTGTGGAGGCAGCATTCTTTCCCGGAGCTGTATTTCTTCTTTCACAATGGTATAATTCTCCAGCGTCTCTGAATAGCATATATTGAAATTTCTTCAGGTACAAGAAAAATGAACTAGGGTTACGCACAGCACTTCTTGCTTGCGGCGCCTCGATTAGTAATGCTTTTGGTGCTCTTTTCGCATCAGGGATCTTGGGATGCTTAGACGGTACACTAGGTTTTACGGCTTGGAGGTCTGAGTCGAGATGCGCGTGCTTTCAAAAAGTCAAACTGTTCTGATTTCCCTGCTTCAGGTGGCTCTTTTTTCTAGAAGGCGCATTGACCATCGTGGTTGCGGTGTCCGCGGGCTGGATATTACCTGATTTTCCTTCAACGCCGAGCGCCTGGCTTCTGCCTGACGAACAGATACTGGCCAAACAACGGATGGAGGAGGAAGTCGCGACCAAAAATGAGCACAAAAGTAAACCCGGAGGAGATTATTCTGGTCTTGCTGACGCTCTTATGGATTGGAGGGTGTGGTGGGTTGGTGCTGCCCTTAGCGTGATGGTTTCCTCGATGTCATTCAGTATTTACTTCCCGACGCTAGCCGCTACAATGGGTTACGACGCGACTACGAGCCTCTTGCTCTGTGCACCTCCGTGGATTTTGGGAACTTCGACCTCATTTGTTGTTGCCAGGTCAGTATTCACTTCACAGGTCCGATAGGCGAATTGACAATACTGAGTCAAGGCACTCCGATGTAACCGGTGATCGATTCTGGCACATTGTTGGTCCTCTACTTGTCAGCATCTCTGGATTTATACTCGCAATTTCAACTATGAATACGACTTTACGATATATATCCTTGTACGAACTCTCCCGTCTCCGTTCTGCGATTTCGGTGACTTACGCGCACCGATAAGATTCTTGATGACTCAGGGCCCAGTTGCCTATGTTGTCGCTTTGACCTGGATCATGAATACCTTTTCCCAATCACAGTCTAAACGCGCTGCAGCCATCGCACTCATAAACTCCATGGCATCGAGCGGCGTGATCGTTTCATCGTCAGTTTACAGTAACCTCGTGATATATGCTACTGCTGACGCCGTCACAGATACTTCTGGCCATCTAGTTGGGGACCTTCATACGTGAACTCGTATATTATTTGTATCTTGGCAAGCATCGTATCTATTGCGATGTTATGGGTATTTAGGGTGCACCTTTCCCGGTGCAATGAAGCTGCTGAAGCTGAGGAGCAATCCCTAGGGCTGCCCAAGGGTTTGAGATATCTCCTCTAGCACTTTGAGTCGCTGCTCAGTTGTCTAGCAGTGTTCGGTGGCGGGTTATACTTTGTTGGGTGAAATTGGGTCTGATTATTGACATACTGTACACAGTTGACCAAAATACATTAATGCGAATTACGCTCCTCCAAATTATCAACTACCAACGTTGCGTCTAGATGTAATTGCTTTACTGTCATAAATGTAGGGCATCTACCATGGCATGACTCATCCATCATTATACGAGTGGCGGTATTGTGTGTGGTAAGAACACTTCTTTACCCTTGTTTTCTTCATACCAAACTATATCATGGGCTACCAGAACCTGCACCCTCGGGATCTCTAACAACGACCTCATCCTGCGAATGTTTTCCTCCGCGACTTCCTTGTACTGGTGAGAACATGTTACCGCGCCCGTTTTCGCATCGACATGGCATGCAATTTGCATCTTCCCAGTGATCAAATCAGGATGGTGAGCTGAATCTGCGCCTAGCAGGATCCAAGCGCCGTCCGGGGAAGTGCGCGCAAGGATGTTGATATGCCCGTCAGCGTGCCCTGCAATAAACAAGCCTGAGTGACTTTTCCAGTCTTGTGCATGCAGTAGATAAGTACCAGATGCATCAACGATGTATATGCTGCCATCACCGAAAATGTCCATTGCGTGCGGGTAGGGTCCGATTGCCACGTTTAGGTCAGAAGCTGTGACAAAGCGTAGACGGTCTTCTGGTGGACGAATGGATGAAAAAGCTATAGGACTGTGACAGGAACCAGGGTCCAAAAAAGCTTGCTTCGATCCTTCCCCGAGGATAAACTCAGCACTCGTAAACGGGGAGGGATCTCCGACGCTGAAAGGAGACAGGTTAGGCGATTCATACCACCTCGGGCGCTGAGCTACTCACTGATCCCAATGGAGGTGACTCAGGACTACCAAGTCAACTGATGAAGGGGGGACTCCACCAGCTTCCAAAGACTCTGCCGCAGTCTGCTTCACATCAGGCACTACTGATATTGCAGCAGGCGCAAACTCTTTGATGTTCCTGTGGATTCCTAGGTCGAAAACAACCCGCTTATTGTTCTTCGAATGACGCAGTAGGAATGCGAGTGAGGGGAAGGTTATGGGATCGTCCGATTGATCAGCTACCATTAGACTCAAAGGAACAATGAGGTGTCCGGCTTCAAGGGCAGATACGTACATGTATGCCTGCTCATCGGACGGAGGAGGGAGTGAACGTGCCTCCGTGGACATTGGTATCAAATTCAAGGGTGAATCAGAACCAAGACTCAAATGTGCGCCGCTACATATAAGCAAGGAAAACAAACGGCAGCACAACGGCAGCACCATGACTCCACAAAGTTCAAAGACAACAACTTGGAGTCACGCTAGCCAGAAACTCCGAGCTCGATTAGGGTATAGCATGGGTATGGCGGGTACGGGTACAGTGTAAAGAGCTGCCCGTGGTCACCGGTCATACCGTACCCGTCAGCACGATATATAAATATATTCACAGCCAGGACGTACTATCGAGTGTTGGATAAGTCGGCCTTACTATCCAACACTCGATGCTACGCCCTGGCTGTGCATGACCCACGGACAGCAAGGGCGTACTAATGACTATCCAGAGTAAAGTTGAAAGTGCCTGGTTAATGAGGATCTAAGCAGTGAAGCGAGATATCGATGATTGATGATATAGATAAGTTGAGAACTTGAAATGTGAGGGTGGAAGACCAGCTGTAGCTAGTTGTGCATGTTCAAAAAGTACCCGAAACGTCATAGTACCCGCTGTGCTAGTGACTCGGACATCTCTGATTAGTCAAGACCTTGAAATGGAAGAAGGAAGACAGAGTCATCGTACTATTAATACCGATCCAGGTGTTATCCGAGATCACCACGACGTGGGTGTCGGCTTGTTTCGCTGAAGAAAGGTGACCGGGATGAGCATCTTTGATCAGAACAGTAGCATCAACAGTCAACCTATGCGGGTAGCGCCATGCTCCTGACATTTTGTTTCCTGAAACTACTGGGAACCATGAAGTTATCCAGTCACTAGTACTTTGGGTTCGGGATTTGGTGTAAGGTATATCTGAGACGTGCACCTGAGTGCGTGACTGGACAATACTAGATCAGTTTTGTTCGACGTGGATTCTAGCACTAATACTCATCCCCTCTGCACGATTTCAAATCCCCAACGCCGCCTCCACAGCACATCCTTCACAAACGCTCCAAAAGTGCTTCCATCTGTGACAACGACCTCTCTCGCTCTAGCCAACACCATCGCGTCCAACACCGGCATCAAAAATCCCTTTAACAAGACCTGGTCATACGCATTGATCAATGCGTCGAGAGGAGTCAAACGGGATGTAAAATCAGACAGGAAGAATATACAAGGGAAAGTTTGAAGATAAATGGAAAATAGTGGGTCTGCTGCAGGATTCGGGGAGTCAGTGGCAATGTACAGAGGAGCGTTCAGTTTTTGCAATGGTGCTGAAGTATGCAGAGGTGCACGACATCGGATCTTGGGTTTGAATGTATGTGGCAGAAAAGGCAAAGGCGGATGAGGTACCCTGAGACTCGGTACATCCGGTTGGATAAACGGCGGATCGAGGTCCTCGTCGAAAGGACTGAGCTGCTGTTCAAGCGCCAGAGTTTCTTCAAGATCTAGTCCACAAACAAGGTGTACGAGTTTCCACCAGATGGTTCTTGCATTATCGGTGCTTCGTTGTTCGAATTGACCGTCCCCAACACGAAGATGGGCACCAATATAGACAGTGCCTAAGGCTTCATATATCGTATCGGCCACAGGAGATAGGTGTGAATTCGTGAATGCCATTCCGCTCCTTACATCTTTCCGCACGCTCTTACTCACATCCTGTCTTAGCCTAAGCCTCGACGAGCCGAACAACGTTCCGATCTGCACCAATCTCTCGGGTGCCCGAGCAAGTGTTGGAATGTAGATGGAATAGAGATACTTGTCCCGCGTAGGCGACACATCATCAAGCGTGTCCAAGAACCGAAAATCGTAAGGTCCAGAGTCTTGCAACGTCAAGGTATCCGCGTCGAAGATATTGATATGAAACTTTTTCATATATTCTGCTGCTGGGCTTCCGTCCCATTGAATCATCTTTACTCCGATTTTCTGTCCTATTGCTTGTAGATCGACGAGGTGATCCCATGGGATGGAAGTCCACTCTTCGTACCCTGAACATTCGTCGGGGGCTGGTATGCCGACAGGGACGAGTGGACAGTGTTCAAGCCCAGTTTTGGACCCAAGCACGAGGAAGCGTCTTAGTTTTTCAAATGAAACGTATCGAATTGGTTTTCCAAGCCTTAGAAAAGGAACAAGAAGAGTACGATTTAGTGCTTTAGCGAGTACGAGGGCATTCTCGAGTGCGATGCGTTGGTTGTGTAATCCGCTATGGGGGAAGTAGGAGAGGTATTTGGTGTCAGGAGCGAGTGGGTTTGCTTTTGGGAGGGCGTCAGCGCGGTGCGGGTGCGGTTGTGCATAGGGAGCGAACCTGGTGGTGAATAAATGATACGCGAAGAAAAAGCATGTTACTGATGCGAAAGCTAGTACTGCGACGAGGATCGCGAGCTTTCTGTTTGGGGAGTGGGATGGCGATTGTTTGGCGGTCATGAGGCTTTGGCTGAGAGAAGAACCTGGTCGCGTGCTGTGTGGTGCGCGCATCCGGTACGCGCCTTTTTCGAGCGTGACGGACGGAGACTGGAAGGTGTATGCTGTGGACATGAGGGTTCCAAACGACGCGTTGTTTGTGCCTGTTGAATTCAAAGGCTCTCTCTCAATATTCATATTTCAAAATAAATAACATGATACCCCTTTACTACAGGGGTTACCGTACCATCAAAATTCTGACTGTTCATGATAGTCATCTGCTCTCATGTAAACTATCGATCGGCCAAGTCCCTTCTGCCTCGCCTCCCTCCATTTTGATCTCATGGTCCATGGACCAGACCACGGCTAGGCTCGCTTAGTCAGCGAGTATTCCAGAAATATGGTCGAGTAAAGTTCCCTTCCACAGCGGCCAATATTCTTACTGCCATCAATATGGGTTATTTTCATCGACACCGTATATTATGAATCGGAACCTGAGGGTATCCGGATTCCGGTGTGCTGATGTGCCAGCGGGAATCTGCTATTTGTGGTCTCTTCCGTCCATACTCCATAGGAATGTCAGATCGCCCGTTGCTCAGCACAGACAACAGTCCCCACTACGGTGCATCTGACAGAAGCAGTGATAGTCCGGCACTTTCTGAATACGATGAACAGAACAGACAGACAGTGGAGAAGAGGCTCCTCCGCAAGTTAGACCTTCGATTTGCCTTCCTAGTTCTGATCTATATTATGAGCTGCGTGAGTTGGTATTTCTAGTGTTTCCGCTATTGCATTAATTTATTGCATAGATGGACCGCACTAATGCAGCGTACGTAGCCTTTCGAACTCACCATTGGAGTAATGTGGCTCAATTGCTTCTCGGTCATAATAGTGCAGCAAGGTTGCGTGGTTTTGAGGAGGACCTTGGTATGACGGGGAATCAGTTTAACACACTCATGAGCATCTTTTACGTGGGGTATTTGTTGACACAAACTCCTTCGTATGTACCAGCACGTTATCCTTTCTGTGGCCCGGCGTGTCTGAGAATTCAAAAGCAACATGTTCTTAGTTCGCATGACAAGGCCATCGCTATACCTCTCAAACTGCATGACAATATGTGGTGCTATCACCCTGTTTATCGGTACGTGCATCATTTGCCTAATCAATATTGCCTGACGAGGGTCATGAAAAGGCGTAGCACAAACGTTAGTATCTATTACTTTTGGCGCTCTGGAGTTAACGTCGCTTTAGGTATCATGCCATTCTTATCTTGCGCTTCATGGTTGGAGTGGTTGAGGCGGCATTCTTTCCTGGAGCTATCTTCCTTCTTTCACGATGGTACAGTTGCCCAATACCTTCGAACGATATATCCTGAAATTTCTCTAGGTACAAGCGCAATGAACTGGGGTACCGCACAGCACTTCTGGCTTGCGGTAGCCCAATCAGTAATGCTTTCAGTGCTCTTACAGCGTCGGGAATTTTGGCAAGTCTAGATGGTATATTAGGTTTTGCGGGTTGGAGGTCAGAGGCGAAATATGCATGCTCTCAAAGTAGAACTGCTCTGACTGTGCTGCAGGTGGCTCTTCTTTGTGGAGGGGATTTTGACAATTGTGGTTGCAGTGTCTGCAATCTGGATTTTGCCAGACTTTCCGTCATCGTCGAGTGTTTGGCTTTTACCCGATGAACGGATCCTGGCCAAACTACGGATGGAGGAGGAAGTTGCGGTCAGGAATGAGCACAAAGGCACGCCCGTGGAGGGTTGGTCTGGCCTTATTGATGCACTTACAGATTGGAGAGTATGGTGGCTCGGTGTTGCTCTTATTCTGATGGAGGCTTCTTTATCTTTCCGCATTTTTTTCCCGACACTATCTGCTACAATGGGTTACAGCTCGACTATCACCCTCTTGCTCTGTGCACCTCCGTGGATTTTGGGAACTGCAACATTGTTTCTTGTGGCTAGGTCAGTATCTACTTGCCAGTCCCGATTGGTGAATTAACAATAGCTAAGGCACTCTGATGCTACTGGCGATCGCTTTTGGCATACCGCTGGTCCTCTATTTGTCGCCATCATTGGGTTCATGGTCGCAATTTCTACTATGAATGCGGCCGTTCGATATCTGTCTCTGTACGAACCTTCTCGTTCTGCAATTCCACAGCCTGACGTTTTCTGTGAAGATTCTTTATGGCTCAGGCCCCAGTTGCACATGTTGTGTCTTTGACCTGGGTCATGAACACATTTTCCCAATCACGGTCGAAATGCGCTGTGGCCATCGCATTCATCAATGCTATGTCATCACTCGGCTATATCGGTTCATCGTTAGTTCATAGCGTACTCTTACTTTTTGGTGTCGCTGATGCATCGCAGGTACTTTTGGCCGTCCCGTTGGGGGCCTTCATACGCAAACTCATGTAGCATATGCATCTTGACAAGCACCATGTGTATTGTGATGCTTTGGGTATTCAGGAGGCACCTTTCACGGTGCAACGAAGCTGCTGAAGCCGAAGAGCAGGCTCTAGGGCTGCGCAAAGGCTTTAGATATTTCTTATAGCACTCGTTGATCAAGGTGGTGGTGTTTGATTAAGATTTTTTCATGTAAATCAAGCTGTAGTAGTGGGTTGAATGTAAACCACGTAATGGAGAATGTCTCATTTTATATTTGAATAAATGTATGAGATGTTGCCTTCATCATTGTACGAGCGGCGGTATTATGTGGTAAGAACACCTCTTTACCCTTGTACCATACCATGTCACGTGAAACCAAGACCTGGACTGCAGAGTCTATCCCAGACGAGCAACTCACAAGGTATCTTAGAGGACGAAGAGTGGTACATCGAGAAGTGATGAGACTTACAGCTCAAGTTGAACCCGAGCACCAATATGCATGCAGGTAGGTGATGAGCATGAGACATTAGTCTAGTGGTATCGGACGTGGAAATGCTGCAGATAGATCTCCAGGCCGGTTTGCTTTGAAAGGAAACTATAGTCCAATATACATGCATGTAGTATGATATATATGAAAGTACCGATGGAACCGCTTAGATCCCTAGTTTTCAAAGGGAGATGCATCTACAGTATGTCAATCGTCCTGACGTCCATCAGGTCTCGGACAGAAGCCACATCTTTGACCTGCGCAATGATGTCACGATCCGACGCGACCCTTTTATATTCTCCGCCACGTTGCCGAGCTAGCAAAAATGCGCCAAAAGGCTGCTCAAGGCGAACAACCAACCGCAAGGCTCGCAATTCTAGATCATCCACCTCCTGTTTTACAAAAGAACGGCTAGGTGAGTCGTCTGGTGGAGATGAAGGCGGCGTCCAATAATCCCCTTCGCTCTCCGTATCGTCTGGTAGATCTAGGAGAGATCGATCCCAGGGACGGACAAGCACCAAGGTTTGCTGAGTGGGCCTTATCCGCGAGAACTGAACAATTGGCTCTGTGGCATTGATCAGCAGGTCATGAAGCCCGTCCGCCTTGACTTCATATCGAGTCTCCTGGGATGTACCGTAGCTCAGACTGACTTCTGTAACGTGGAATGCCATGCAAGGCAGGTGCAGTCTGCAGTTCGCGAAACCAGCAGCGCTCGTGTTATCAAGCCGGTCGTAAAGTTCCGAAGCAAAATTCACAGCCATGGGATTTTGTCGCAGCAAAGAAATACTTTTCTGGATCTGATCTTCGGACAAGGATGGAAGGGTGCGTGGGGAAGTGGCGTAAGAAGTAATATAGGCTGGAAGGCAGCTGTTGAACTCGGAAGGTTGTCCGATCCAGTCGAGGACCGTGATGTCTCCCGACCGAGCCACGATCTCCTGCAGGAGCCGCCCGAGCGCGTTCTGCTTCTTCTCGCCATACATGACAGGTAGGTGGACACCGAAGATACCAAACAATGAGTACGCGATGTCTTCTTGCAATGTCGTGACGCGAGATGACGCCCATTGAAGTCTCTGTCGGGCGTTGCTCATCCCAGGACGAAAGGAGATCAGAGCCCGTGCGTCTATTCCCGTCGCATCCTCCAACTCCTTCATAATTGCAGGGGACTCCTTGTGGTTGGGAGAGCGATCGTCAAGATATAATGACCAATCATTCTGATAGAATATTACAACTTTTGGAGCGACGAACTCTTGAAAGGTCCATCCTCGTTCGTTCCAGACACTTCTCGCCAGTGCACCGGGTTGGGATGAAGGAGGCACATCGGATAGGTATACAACAGTGAGCGCTGAATGGCGGTACCAGACGAACATGGAGTTGACCGATTCTTGAAGCTCGGTGTTGCTCTTCTTATCGATGCAGCATGTGTCCATCCAAGCCCAGCGATATCCGGCATCACGAGCGACATTGCAGAACGACTGCAGTTTTGCGATCCCAGCAAGTCCCTTCAACTCACGCACATCTTTATCTTGGATGTCTTGCAGTAGCGCCTCCATCTCCTCCCACCTGTGTGATAGTAAGACGCAACGGAAGTACGTTGCCACTACATCTTTGATGCGCTCTGCTCGGATATTCGAATCCTTCGTTGGAAATGAGACAAGCTCGTTGTACTCTGCACTCGTTTTGAAGGTGTTTATTTGTGCCACTCTATCGCACAAAAGACCCGTGGAGGTATTCAATAGACGTAGCGGGGCATATTCGAGTTCAATCCAAACAACTCTTTGAATGGCGTCTTCCGCTTCTGATGGAGAGACATACTGCTGACGCAGATCTACAGAACGAGATAGGCATTTCGAGATCATACAGAAGTGTCCCATGTCTTACCTCGTATCTGAGCTTCGGGAGAATGGTCCAACTTGGACAACATGATTTTGAAGGCCTCGATGGCTTCGTCGTAACGTTGCGCCCCACGCAGCGCTGTATGCATCAACTTGTATCCAACATGAGACGAAGGATTGAGTTCCATGACCTATGCATCACCGAAGTCAACACAGGCTACGGAAACATAGATGCCATCGCACCTTTTGCGCATCGAGAAGTGCTTCTGTCCAAAGCATTTTTGCCAACTTTGCCCTGCTGCGATTTTCAAAGACGACATCGGATGCAAAATCCAGGTTGATCACCGCCGAGTACAAATCAATCGCCCGATCAAAATCGCTTGCAGTGAGGGCAGCATCTCCGTCGGTAAGAAGGGGCGCGCTGCATTTTTCCGTAAAAGCTAAGTGAAATGCGAGTGAGGATTGTAGCCTGCATGACATTGCAAACTCCAGACTTACCGTTGGACCATTCAAGGCAGATGGCCCTCGTTGTTTCGTCGATACTGTCCATCATGTATCGGTATGATCTCACGGCATCTTGAAGTTTACCTGCCAGAAGGAGTGCATCGCAGCGTTTCTGGTGTGCAGTCAACCACAACGATTTAAGATCCCAGCCGAAGAGCTGAACAAGAGATTCGGTTATGAAAGCGTTTCGGGTGTGTGTTGACGTACCACCACCAAATCCTCGTAAATTTCATCAATGTCTGATTTCGACGGTAAATTGCTGCAGTCGATAGCGGCAGTGAAATGAACAGCGGCTTCGTCGTGACGTGCGCCATCCAAGGCTTCGAGTCCAAGTTGAACACGAAGATATGCCTAATATGCAAGTTTGCAAAGATTAGCGTCGATGCAGATGACTCAGCGTGGCTGCACGATGCTTACTTCCACAATACAACATGCGCGAGTATCGGCATTCGGACAACCAGTGATGAGTTCTTTGAGGAGCAGGTTTGCCTCGTCATGTTGATCTGCATTGAAGAACGCGATGGCCTAAAACACGATGAAATACAGAGTATGCGAGGCAACTGCAACATACTTTGATCAAGAGCAGAAAATGGAGGATTTCTGAGTCTTGGTCCGTGTACATCGATGCAACGTCAAATGCTGCCCTCGCATCTGGGATGCGGCCTGTTCCGCAGAGGGCAATGCCCTTGGAGATGTAGCCTGTCAATGAGGGCTCAATGTTGATGGACTGTGTCGCCATCGAGTCAGTCATTCATAAGGGAGCGAAGACGGGTCAGCAAATCTCACGTTCATTGCATCCCGAAGGGCATGGTCCCAGTCGTGTTTTCGCGCCATAACGAATGAGCGATGAGCATAGGAAGTATGGTTGTTTGGATTGGTGTTGATATCTTGGGTGAGTAGGTCTTCGGCGGTAGATAAATCTCCGTTTACACATGCAATACGGGAGGTCGTGATGACAAGGATCTGCACGAAAGACGCTCAAATTTTAGTATATGTGAGTCAAGGACGGAAACATGCCTTTGAGCGATGGGCGTGGGGAGTATGGTTGTTCGCATCGGTAGTAATGGCGATAGTCTGCAAGAAGCATGCTCGATTTGTGGTATGAGTCAGGCCTTCAGGGACGGAAACATGCCTTTGGATGAGTACCCTGAGGTACTGCCCACTCTGAGATCATCTTATCGGTGCCTCCGCTGAGGATGTGGTTGCCGTCCACGGAGAAAGTGATGCACATCCCGTCGAATGAGTTCTTGAAGACGGCAATGGTTTGCCGATCTGACATCCGCCAGAGACGGATGCGTTTGTCAGTAGATGTGGAGGCGGCGAGCGTGCCAGCAGGATGAATGGCAATGGCATTGATTTGCTCAATGTGGCCCATCCAGGGATCACCGACTTGCTCCCATGTTGTTGTATTCCATTCGCGTATGGTAGGATCGTCCTTACTGCCGCCTGTGAGAAGGCGTGTGCCATCGGGCGTCCACGCCAGTGACAAGTTCCATGACTTGTGACCCTTGAATTTTGCGACACACTGCATTGTGCCTGAATTGTAAATTTCAATATTGTTGTCTGTCGCGATGGCAAGAAGTTCTCCAGACGGTGAATATCGTACGCATTTGACACATGCACCACACTCGATTGGATATTCTTGTACCTCCCAGGTTTTGGTATCCCACAGTTTCGTCGTTTTGTCATATGAAACAGTGGCCCTGGCCAGCAGTGTCCCATCGGGAGAAAAATCCAGCGAGATGATCGGATTGTAGTGTGCTTCGATTTTGGTGAATGGTTCGCCAGTTGCTCCGTACCAAATAATGACCTCTCCGCTTTTATCACCGCTTGCTATCAATTGTCCATCTCGTGATACTGCCAATCTCGTCACCCCATTGTGATGCCCTTCCATCTTCTTCAACACAACACCTGTCTTCAAATCCCACAGACAAAGCGTCTTGTCGGCCGAGCCCGTAACCATCCGTCGTTTATCGGGGAAAACTGCAACTGCATTTATGCCTCCTTCATGGCCTTTAAACTCTCGCAGGGGAGTGGTGATTGGAATGATGTTCGACATTTTACCAGACGTCGATGGTCTCGAGGTGGACTTTGGACGGACTTTATCTTTGTCTAAGCTGTAGAGGTGCGTGTATTGTGCGTTTTGTGGTGCTTCACTGCTTCAACCTCAATAAACGCTCAGGACGCTTAAGGCTGTTCGCTTCCACGCCTCCATCAGCGTAATGCACCCTATTGCCATACTCGCTGTCCTCGACTGTATGCCGTTCCAGCACTCCTGCAGTACATACATACGTCCCACTCTTGTCTTCAATGTTTGCAGAATGCGTTTACTAATTGAGCAGTCGGTGCTTCCTAGCGCTCGAATCTGACTCTCTATCCTGCATGGTATTTGTTGTTTTGGAGTTGAACAGCTACTCCAGCACATCGCCATGTCACTCCTTCGAACGCATGCAGATAGCCTATTGAAATATCACCTCTCATCCCACCGACTCTCAAGACCTGCTTGTGCACCAAATTTCTCCCCTCTGGCGTCTCAAACTCGTCAACAATTCTACACAGAGCGCTTTTCTTCCAGTGCGGCTCTTTCTCTCTTGTCTAGCAATATTGCGACGAGCCTTGCCCAGTCCTTAGGCCATTTGGTATAGGGGTGGAGAATCGCTTTAAGTTCACTCGTATGGTTCTGGTCGCGCTAGGTTTTGGGGAGGAAATAAGCGCATTGCTGGTAATATTCTGAAATCAAATCCTGCATAGCTTAAGCATTTGAAAGGCAGGTCTTCCCAAAGATACCAAAATGGAGAAAATGGGTTTATCTTGCTTCTCGATTCCTCGCCATTACCACCTGCATCCAACCCACTACGTAGGAACAACGTCACGTGTCTCTCGTCTTCCTACTCCCAACCCAGTTCTTGAATCTCCCAACATCGAAAGTATGGACGAGTGCCTCCACAACGATTTCATCTAACCCAGAATGGAAGCCACGGAGATCGCGAAACAACACAAGATGCATCCGGGCATCCACCACAGCCGTACGGGTCTGCACATCAGCCAAGTCATGGAGAGCACTAGCACTGATAGAGCGGACGACTGACACATCTTCCAGCTCTGATGAGTCCTACACAGCTGCGGACGGTACTGCGCATCATTAATGTGACCGTGGGCTAGTTTGTGTCATGTTTCACACTTTGGGTGGGGAGATGGCGAGGATGAACGGTGCCGCGGAGATGGGAGGTAAAGCTCGAAGCTCCAATGTGAGTATACGCGTCGAACATATCAATACATTTTTGTTGATTGAGGAGAAATTTGGAGTTTTAGTAAAGGTCCTGGGCGATAGATTTGACGGATGTGGTCCAGGTCTCGTGAACTGTTCATAATATATTCTGCTCCTCTCATTCCTCCTGAGCACTGAAAGCGGGCGCAGGAGTGACAGCAACCAATTCGACATTCAAAGCACGTCTACTATCTCACCAAAATGTCATTGACTCCGGTTTTACGTACACCCATAATCAACATTCTCCCCACTACACAACACACTCATCCTCCCAGCCACCACAATCGAATATCCTTCTTTCTCATGCCCTTCCACTGTCATTTCGTGATTTCCATTGCCGCTTCATTGATCTCACCTGACGTAATTTCTTACAACTCATACACGAACCTACTATGTTAGCAATGCGGATGAGATTGGGTCTATCTCGGACGAGCATAATCCTTTCTGCGATCTGGAATCTGGATACATTTTCTGAGTTGGTATACCCCGACGTAGCTGAAAATTTCATTCAGGAATCTTAAATCACGGTCCAATCGTTGAAGCTTAAGGCCAAGCTTCCGTCAAGGCATGATTTCTTTCTCATCGAATTTCATTGATTTCTGTTTGACTGTTGTTCTGTTAATAGGGTCGTGGAAGTGGCTGAGTGCATGTTTTCAGGCTTTCGAGATGTACCACTAGTGATCAAATGCATATGCCTGACACTGACTTACGAATAACTACATCAACTTCTCGCGGTCCCACTCGCAAAGAATTCTAGAGGACGAAGGATGGTACATCGGGAAGTGACGAGACTTAGAGCTCAAGTTGAATCCAAGCACCCATGCAGCTAGGTGATGAGCATGCGGCTTTAGTCTAGCAGTATCGGACGGGGAAATGCTGCAGATAGGTCTCCAGGGTCTGCTTTGAAAGGAAACTATAGTCCAATACACATGCATGTAGTCTGATATATACGAAAGTACCAATGAAATCCGTAATCTTGAGAGGAAAATACATCTACAGTATTTCAATCGTCTTGATGTCCATCAGGTCTGGGACAGAAGCCGCATCTTTGACCTGCGCAATGATATCACGATCCGACGCGACCCTCTTGTATTCTCCACCACGCTGCCGCGCTAGTAAAAATGCGCTAAAAGGCTGCCCAAGGCGAACAACCAACCGCAATGCTCGCGAATCCGGGTCATTCACCTCCTGATTTACAACAGAATGGCTAGGTGAGCTGTCAGACGGAGACGAGAGCGGCATCCAACCATCCCCTTCGCTCTCTGTATCGTCTTGAAGGTCAGGTAACTCGAGGAGAGACCGATCCCAGGGACGGACGAGCATGAAGGTCTGCTGAGTGGGCCTTGTCCGCAAGAACTGGACGATCGGCTTTTGAGTGGTGATCAGCAGGTCACAAAGCCCGTCCGCCTTGACTTCATATCGAGTCTCCTGGGATGTACTATAGCTCAGACCGACTTGTGTGACACGGAATGTCATGCAAGGCAGATGTAGCCTGCAGTTCGCAAAACGAGCGGCGCTCGTGTTGTCAAGCCGGTCGTAATGTTCCAAAGCCAAATCCACAACCATGGGATTTTCTCGCAGGGAAGAAATAGTTTTCTGAATCTGATCTTCGAACAAGGATGGAAGGCTGCGTGGAGGAGTGGTGTAAGAAGTAATATAGGCTGGAAGACAGCTATTGAATTCGGAAGGTTGTCCGATCCAGTCGAGGACCGTGATGTCTCCCGACCGAGCCACGATCTCCTGCAAGAGTCGCCCGAGCGCGTTCTGCTTCTTTTCCCCATAGATTACAGGTAGGTGGATACTGAAGATCCCAAATAATGAGTATGCGACGTCTTCTTGCAATGTGGTGACGCGAGATGACGCCCATTGAAGTCTCTGTCGAGCGTCGCTCATCCCAGGACGAAAGGAGATCAGGGCCCGTGCATCTATTCCAGTCGCATCCTCCAACTCCTTCATGATTGCAGTGGACTCTTTGTGGTTGGAAGAGCGATCATTCAGATATAATGACCAATCCTTTTGATAGAATAATACAACTTTCGGAGCGACGAACTCTTGAAAAGTCCATCCTCGCTTGTTCCAGACACTGCTCGCTAATGCGCCGGGTTCAGATGAAGAGGGTACATCGGATAGGTAGACGATGGTAAGCGCTGAATGGCGGTACCAGACGAACATGGAGTTCACCGATTCTTGGAGCTCGGTGTTGCTCCTCTTGTCGATGCAGCACGTGTCCATCCACGCCCAGCGATGCCCAGCATCACAAGCGACTTTGCAGAATGACTGCAATTTCGCGATCCCGCCAAGTTGCTTCAACTCGCGCACATCGGTATCCTGAATGTCGTGCAGCAGCACCTCCGTCTCTTCCCACCTGTGTGATAACAGGACACAACGGAAGTATGCTGCTACCACTTTCTTGATGCGGTCCATTTGAAGGTCTGAATGCTTCGTTGTGGATGCCAAAAGCTCCTTATACTCTGCACTCGTTTTGAACGCGTATATTTGGGCTGCTCGATCGCACAAAATACCCGTGAAGGTATTAAGTAGACGCAGCGGGGCATATTCGAGTTTAAGCCAGACTGCTCTTTGAATGGCGTCTTCTGCTTCAGATGGACAAACATACTGCTGACGCAGATCTGCAGAACGGGATAGGCATTTCGAGATCATGCAGGAGTTTCCCATGGCTTACCTCGTATCTGAGCATCGGGAGAATCGTCCAACTTGGACAACATGATTTTGAAGGCCTCTATGGCTTCGTCGTAGCGCTGTGCGCCATGCAGCGCTGTATACGTCAACTCATATCCAACGTGAGAGGAAGGATTGAGTTCGGTAGCCTATGTATGCATTGCCGAAGTCAAAATGGGCTACGAAATGATAGATGCCATCGTACCTTTTGCGCGTCGAGAAGCGCCTCCTCCCATAGCCTGTTCCCCAACTTTGCCTGACTACATTTTGCAAAGACGACATCGGATGCAGAATCCAGGTCGATCACCGCCGAGTACAAGTCAATCGCCCTGTCAAAATCGCTTGCAGCGAGGGCAGCATCCCCGCCGATAAGAAAGGGTGCGCTGCATTTCTTCGTAAAAGCTAAGTGAAATCCGAGTGAGGACTGTGGCCTGCATGACATTGCAAACTCCAGACTTACCGTTGGACCATTCAAGGCAGATGGCCCTCGTTGTTTCGTCGATACTGTCCATCATGTATCGGTATGATCTCACGGCATCTTGAAGTTTACCTGCCAGAAGGAGTGCATCGCAACGTTTCTGGTGTGCAGTCAACCACAACGATTTGAGATCCCAGCCGAAAAGCTGAACAAGGGATGGTTATGAAAACGTTTCGGGTGTGTGTTGACGTACCACCACCAAATCCTCGTATATTTCATGAATGTCCGATTTCGATGATGAATCACGGCAGTCGAGAGCAGCAGTGAAATGGACAGCGGCTTCGTCGTGACGTGCGCCATCCAAGGCTTCGAGTCCAAGTTGAACACGAAGATATGCCTAATATGCAAGTTACAAAAATTAGCGTTACTCAGCGTGGTTGCACAATGCTTACTTCCACGATACGACATGCGCGAGTGTCGGCATTCGGACAACCGGTGGTGAGTTCTTTGAGGAGCAGGTTTGCCTCGTCATATTGATCTGCATTGAAGAGCGTGATGGCCTAAAAACGCAATGAAGCGGAGAGTATGTAAGGCAACTGCAACATACTTTGATCAACAGCAGAAAATGGAGGTTTTCTGAATCTTGGTTCGTGTACATGGATGCAACATCAAATGCTGCCCTCGCATCTGGGACGCGGCCTGTTCCGCAGAGGGCAATACCCTTGGAGATATAGCCTGTCAATGAGGGCTCAATGTTGATGGACTGTGTCACCATCGAGTTAGCCATTCATAAGGGAGCGGAGACGGGTCAGCAAATCTGACATTTATCGCATCCCGAAGGGCGTGATCCCAATCGTGTTTTCGCGCCATAACAAATGAACGATAGGCGTAGGAATTATGGTTGTTCGGATTGGTGTTGATATCTTGGGTGAGCAGTTCTTCAGCGGTGGATAAGTCTCCATTTACACATGCAATACGGGAGGTCGTGATGGCTAGGATCTGCAAGAAGCATGCTCTAATTGTGATATATATAAGTCCAGGACGGAAACATGCCTTTGAGCGATGGGCGTAGGGAGTATGGTTGTTGCCATCGGTGTTGATATCTTGCGTGAGTAGTTCTTCGTCGGTAGATGAGTCTCCATCTATGTATGCATCGCGGGCTGTTGTAATGGCGATAGTCTGCAAGAAGCATGCTCGATTTATGGTATACGAGTCAGGGACGGAAACATGCCTTTGGATGAGTACCCTGAGGTACTGCCCACTCTGAGATCATCTTATCGCCGCCTCCGCTGAGGATGTGGTTTCCGTCCACGGAGAAAGTGACACACTCCATCGAGGATAAGTCCTTGAATACAGCAATGGTTCGTCGATCTGAGAGCCGCCAGAGACGGACGTGGCTGTCGGCGGATGCGGATGCAACAAGTGTGCCAGCAGGATGAATGGCAATGGCATTGATTCGGCCAGTGTGACCCGTCCAAGGATCACCGACCTGCTTCCAGGTTGTTGTATTCCATTCGAGTATGGTATGATCGCTATTATAGCTACCTGTGAGCAGGCGCGTGCCATCGGGCGTCCACGCGAGTAACGAGTTGTATGATGTGTTACCAAAGATTGCGACGCGTTTCCTCGTGCTTGAATTGTAAATTTCAATATTGTAATTTGTTGCGATGGCAAGAAGTTCTCCAGACGGTGAATACCGTACGCAGCGGACATATGCACCACACTTGATTGGATCTCCTTCATGCTGCCAGGTTTTGGTATTCCACAGTTTCATCATTTTGTTATATGAACCAGTGGCCAGCACTGTGCCATCGGGAGAAAAATCCAGCGAGGAGATCGAATTGGAGTGTGCTTCGATTTTGGTGAGTGATTCGCCAGTTTCTCCGTGCCAGACGATGAGCACTCCTCTTTCATCCCCGCTTGCTATCAATTGTCCATCTCGTGATACAACCAATGCCTGCACCACATTGTCATGTCCTTCCATCTTCTTCAACACAACACCTGTCTTCAATTCCCACATAAAAAGTGTGTTGTCGTCGTACGAGCCTGTAACCATCCATCGTTTATTGGGGAAAACTGCGATTGCCGGTACGCCCTTTTCATGGCCTTTGAACTTTCGTAGGGGTGTAGCAATTGGAATGATGTGCGACATTTTACCGGATGTTGATGGTCTTGAGGTGGACTTTGGACGGACTGTATCTTTGTCTAAGCAGAGGGGTATCACGCGTTTTATGGTGTTTTGGCACTTGCCTCGTTTCAATAGACGCCCAACCCTTAAGGCTGTTCGCTTCCACGCCTCCACTCAAACTCGTCACTGATTCTAAACGAAGGAGCGCTTTCTTCCAATGCGGCTCTTTTCTTGCAAATATTTTTCTGCAGCCCGACCCTTGGGCCGTTCGGTACTGGGGTGCTGGAGAATCCCTTTAAGCTTACACGTACGGTTGTGATCGAGCTAGGTTTTGACGAGGAATTTGTTGCATTGTTGGTGATATCCTTCAATCAAATTCTGCATAACTTAGACATTTGCAGGGTGCGTCTTCCCCAAGATACCAAAATGATGGAGAAAATGGGTTTACCTTACTTGTCCTCATTACCACCCGTATCCAAACCTCTAGGAACAACATCACGTCTCTCTCGCCCTCTTACTCCAAACCTCAGCTTTGGAACCTCCCCTTATCGAGTTTGTGCACCAGTGCCTCCACAACGGTCTCATCTAACACAGGACGCAAGTCACGAAGATCACAAGGCGCATTTCAGCATCCACCACAGCCGTGCGGGTTTAGACATTCAGCCGAATGGAGAGCACTGATAGTGGGGACTGACGCATCTTCGAGGTCTAATAGTCCTACACAGCTGTGGCCGCTACTGGTACACATCGTTGATGCGACTGGGGACAAATTTGTGTTATATTTCACTTTGGGTTAGGGGATGGCGAGAATGAATTGGGCCGCAAATATGGAAAGTAAAGCTCGAAGCCCCAAAGTGGGTATGTGTCTCGCACGTATTAACACGCTGAATCACTGCTTGATCTTTGATTTCACATTACGCTCCGTGGTCGATGGATAATGGCACTCAGGGAGTTGATGTTTTTGGAACTATACGGATATGATACACGCAGTGGAGGGAATCAACAAAATCAGCGATGCGCCGAGTTGGACAGCCAAGAGACATCGCTCACCCCACTTTCATCCTAAACCACGTTCTATGCCGCCTTCCCACATACAACTACTATTTCTCGTCATAAGCCCCTTATTGAGGAAACGTTGAAGGAGGCTTACGGCTGATGTATTTGAGTCACTTTAGAGGTGATATTAGCGCTTCTAATTAGACTCCTTACGTGGGAGTCACAGGTGCGGGCAAGTATCATCCCCTGCGTTATCTGGAATCCGGATGCATCTTCCGTACGCCGTGTTGGCATTCCCCGACATGGCTGAAGAATTCGACCAGGAATCTTAAATCACGGTCGAGTCGTTGAAGGTCAAGCTTCCGTCAAGGCATGATTTTAGTTTTGCAGGCATTGTGAGTCTTTCTTTCGTTGGATGTTATTTCTTTGTTCTGTTAATGGGATCGTGGAGGTGCTTGAGTGCATTTTTTCAGGCTTTCGAGACGTGCTACTAATGATTGTACTTGAGTGCATAGCCTGCCTGGCCCCAATTTGCGGATCAAACATCAACTTGTCACGGTCTCACTCACCAGGAATTCTAGAGGACGAAGGGTGGTGGTACATTGGGAGGTAACAGCATAAGTTGAACCCGAGCACCCATGCAGGTAGGTGTACCGAGCGTGATGGGGCATTAGTCCGGTGGTATCGGACCGAAAAGTGATGCAGATAGGTCTCCACGGTCTGCGTTGAAAAGGTCCAATTACCTTGCGATCAATAACCTATCAGTCACCAGACATGAACATCATGTTGTTCAATCACGCCAACGCCAGAAATTATCTAAAATCATTATGTAAATAAAAATACCATAAATTTTACAATCAAAACATATTTGAGGAAATTGCAAGGACACTGTTATCAGGAGAAAATATAACCTACTTGTAACCGACTGTATAGTTCCCAAGAATAAAAAATTGTCCGGAGTCTACGAAAGTACCAATGAAAACCACTCCAATCCCTAATCTAGAATGCATCTACAGTATTTCAATCGTCTTGACGTCCATCAGGTCTCGGACAGAAGCCACATCTTTGACCTGCGCAATGATATCACGATCCGACGCGACCCTCTTGTATTCTCCGCCACGCAACCGCGCTAGTAAAAATGCCCCAAAAGGCTGCCCAAGGCGAACAACCAACCGCAATGCCCGCGATTCTAGGTCATCCACCTCCTGATTTACAACAGAACGGCTAGGTGAGTCGTCAGACGGAGACGAGGGCGGCGTCCAATCATCCCTTTCGCTCTCTGTATCGTCTTGAAGATCTGCAAAGTCTGGTGACTCCAGGAGAGACCGATCCCAGGGACGGACGAGCATGAAGGTCTGCTGAGTGGGCCTTGTCCGCAAGAACTGGACGATCGGCTTTTTGGTGCTGATCAGCAGGTCGTCAAGCCCATCTGCCTTGACTTCATATCGAGTCTCCTGGGATGTACTATAGCTCAGACTGACTTGTGTGATACGGAATACCATGCAAGGCAGATGTAGTCTGCAGTTCGCGAAACGAGCAGCGCTCGTGTTATCAAGCCGGTTGTAAAGTTCTGGAGCCAAATCCACAACCATGGGATTTTCTCGCAGGGAAGAGATAGTTGTCTGAATCTGATCTTCGGACAAAGATGGAAGGGCGCGCGGAGGAGGGGCGTAAGAAGTGATATAGGCTGGAAGACAGCTGTTGAACTCGGAAGGTTGTCCGACCCAGCCGAGGACCGTGATGTCTCCCGACCGAGCCACGATCTCCTGCAGGAGCCGCCCGAGCGCGTTCTGCTTCTTCTCCCCGTAGATGACAGGTAGGTGGACACCGAAGATACCAAACAATGAGTACGCGACGTCCTCTTGCAATGTGGTGACGCGAGATGATGCCCATTGAAGTCTCTGTCGGGCGTTGCTCATCCCTGGACGAAAAGAAATCAGGGCCGGTGCATCTATTCCTGTCGCATTCTCCAACTCCTTCATGATTGCAGGGGACTCCTTGTGGTTGGGAGAGCGATCATCAAGATATAATGACCAATCATTCTGATAGAATAATACAACTTTTGGAGCGACGAACTCTTGAAAAGTCCATCCTCGCTGGTTCCAAACACTCCTCGCCAGTGCACCAGCTTGAGATGAAGGAGGGACATCGCAGAGGTAGACGATGGTAAGCGCTGAATGACGATACCAGACGAACATGGAGTTGACAGATTCTTGAAGCTCGGTGTTGCTCCTCTTGTCGATGCAGCATGTGTCCATCCACGCCCAGCGATACCCAGAATTGCGAGCGACCACGCAAAACGACTGAAGTTTCGCGATCCCGCCAAGTCCATTCAACTCGCGCACATCTTTATCCTGAATGTCGTGCAGCAGCACCTCCGTCTCTTCCCACCTGTGTGATAGCAAGACGCAGCGGAAGTATGCTGCTGCCACTTCCTTGATGCGGTCCATTTCAAGGTCTGAGTGCTTCGTTGTGAATGCCAAAAGCTCCTTATACTCTGCACTCGTTTTGAACGCGTATATTTGGGCTGCTCGATCGCACAAAAGACCCGTGAAGGTATTAAGTAGACGCAGCGGGGCATATTCGAGTACAATCCAGACTGCTCTTTGAATGGCGTTTTCTGCTTCAGATGGACAAACATACTGCTGACGCAGATCTGCAGAACGAGATAGGCATTTCGAGATCATGCAAGAGTTTTCCATGGCTTACCTCGTGTCTGAGCTTCGGGAGAATCATCCAACTTAGACAACATGATTTTGAAGGCCTCGATGGCTTCGTCGTAACGTTGCGCGCCACGCAGGGCTGTATGCGTCAACTCATATCCAACGTGAGACGAAGGATTGAGTTCGGCAGCCTATGCATGCATTGCTGAAGTCAACATGGGCTACGAAATGATAGATGCCATCGTACCTTTTGCGCGTCGAGAAGCGCCTCCTCCCACAGCCTTTTCCCCAACTTCACCCTGCTGCGATTGGCGAAGACGACATGGGATCCAGAGTCCAGGTCGATCACCGCCGAGTACAAGTCAATCGCCCTGTCAAAATCGCTTGCAGCGAGGGCAGCATCCCCGCCGATAAGAAAGGGTGCGCTGCATTTCTTCGTAAAAGCTAAGTGAAATCCGAGTGAGGACTGTGGCCTGCATGACATTGCAAACTCCAGACTTACCGTTGGACCATTCAAGGCAGATGGCCCTCGTTGTTTCGTCGACACTGTCCATCATGTATCGGTATGATCTCACGGCATCTTGAAGTTTACCTGCCAGAAGGAGTGCATCGCAACGTTTCTGGTGTGCAGTCAACCACAACGATTTGAGATCCCAGCCGAAAAGCTGAACAAGGGATTTCGTTATGAAAACGTTTCGGGTGTGTGTTGACGTACCACCACCAAATCCTCGTATATTTCATGAATGTTCGATTTCGATGATGAATCACGACAATCGAGAGCGGCAGTGAAATGGTCGGCGGCTTCTTCATGACATGCGCCGCCCAAGGCTTTGATTCCGAGTTGAACGTGTAGATGTGCCTGATGTGCGAGTTGTAAAGATGAGTATTGATGACCAAGCATAGATGATACTTACTTGCACGACACGACATGCGAGAGTGTCGGCATGTGGACAACCGGTAGTGCGTTCTTTGAGGAGCAGGTTTGCTTCGTCATGTTGATCTGCATTGAAGAACGCGATGGCCTAAAAACGCGGTGAAACGGAGGGTATGCGAGGCAACTGCAACATACTTTGATCAAAAGCAGAAAATGGAGGATTTCTGAGTCTTCATCCGTGTACATGGATGCAACGACAAATGTTGCCCTCGCATCTGGGATGCGGCCTGTTCCGCAGAGGGCAATACCCTTGGAGATATAGCCTGTCAACGTGGGCTCGATGTTGATGGACTGTGTCACCATCGAGTTAACCATTCATAAGGGAGCGATGATAGTTCAACAAATCTCACATCCGTTGCATCCTGAAGAGCACGGTCCCAGTCGTTTTTTCGCGCCATAACAAATGAGCGATGAGCATAGGAAGTATGGTTGTTCGGATTGGTGTTGATATCTTGGGTGAGTAGTTCTTCGGCGGTAGATAAGTCTCCATTTACACATGCAATACGGGCAGTCGTGATGGCCAAGATCTGCACGAAACATGCTCGAATTGTGATACATATGAGTCAAAGACGGAAACATGCCTTTGAGCGATGGACGTAGGGAGTATGGTTGTTCGCATCGGTGGTAATATCTTGTGTGAGTAGTTTTTCGTCAGTACATAAGTCTCCATCTATGTATGCATCGCGGGCTGTTGTGATGGCGATAGTCTGCAAGAAGCATGCTCGAATTGTGGTATATGAGTCAGGGACGGAAACATGCCTTTGGATGAGTACCCTGGGGTACTGCCCACTCCGAGATCTTCTTATCGCCGCCTCCGCTGAGGATGTGGTTGCCGTCCACGGAGAAAGTAACGCATTCTATCAAGGATGAATGCAGGAAGACGGCAATGATTCGTCGATCTGAGAGCTGCCAGAGACGAGTATATGTGTTATTACTAGATGCAGATGCGACGAGTGTGCCAGCAGGATGAATGGCAATGGCATTGATCTGGTCAGCGTGGCCCGTCCAAGGATTCCCGACCTGCTTCCATGTTGTGGTATTCCATTCACGTATGGTAGGATCGTCCACACAGCCGCCTGTGAGAAGGCCTGTACCATCGGGCGTCCACGCCAGTGACAAGTTCCATGACTTGTGACCCTTGAACTTTGCGACGCGTTCCCTAGTGCCTGAATTGTAAATTTGGATGTTGTCGTTTGTTGCAATGGCAAGAAGTTCTCCAGATGGTGAATACCGCACGCATTTGACATATGCATTGCACTCGATTGGATCTCCTTGCTGCTCCCAGGTTTCGGTATTCCACAGTTTCGTCATTTTTTCATATGAACCAGTGGCAAGCACTGTTCCATGAGCAGAAAAATCCAGCGAGATGATATCTTCGGAGTGTGCTTCGATTATGATGAGTGGTTCGCCAGTTTCTCCGTGCCAGACAATGACGTTTCCGCTTTCATCACCGCTTGCTATCAATTGTCCATCTCGTGATACAGCCAATGCCCGCACGACATCACGATGCCCTTTTATCTTCTTCAACACAACACCTGTCTCCAAGTCCCACAGACGAAGCGTGTTGTCCTCCGAGCCCGTAACCATCCGTCGTTTATCGGGGAAAACTGCGACTGCAGTTATGCTATCTTTGTGGCCATTGAACTCTTGCAGGGGTATGGTGATTGGAATGAAGTACGACATTTTACTGGATGTTGATGGTGTTGAGCATGGTCGAGGTAGACTTTGGAGTCATTGTGTCTTTGTCTAAGCAGTAGCTGTAGAGGTGCGTGTATTACGCGTTTTATGGCGCTTCACTACCTCAATAGACGCCCAGGACGCTTAAGGCTGTTCGCTTCCACGCCTCCATCAAACCTATTGTCATACTCGCTGTCCTCAATGGTATGCCGTTCCGGCACTCCTGCAGTGCAGACATGCGTCCCACTCTTATCTTCGATTTTTGCAGGATGCATTCAATCGAGCAGTCGGTGTTTCCTAGCCCTCGAATCTGACTATCTATCTATCTTGCATTGTATTTTTTTCTGAATCGAACAGCTACTCCAGCACATCGCCTTGTCACTCCTTCGAATGCATGCAGATAGCTTATTGAAATATCACCCTTCATCCCACCGACTCTCGAAACCTGCTTGTGCACCAAATTTCTCCCCTCTGGCATGTCAACAATTCTAAACAGAGGAGCGCTTTTCTTCCAGCGCGGCTCTTTCTCTCTTTCTAGCAACATTGCGACGAGCCTTGCCCAGTCCTTGGGCCATTTGGTATGGGGGTGCAGAATCGCTTCAAGCTCACTCGTACGGTTGGTTGTGATCGCGCTAGGTTTTGATGAGGAAATAAGTGCATTGCTGGTAATATCCTTAAATCAAATTCTTCATGGCTTGAGCATTTGATGGGTCCGTCTTCTGTTCCGACTTGAACTTGATACTGATGTCAGAAGCGCCTTCACTCCCTTCTCTGTCTGACGAACAGGCGTATATGTATGTATCTGCCTTCAAGGCGGACTCTTGAGTGTCCCTTGTGATTCAATCGCGGCTGGTGATCAACTGATGGTTGACCCTCACTTCCTGCGTCACTCGAAGAACAGTAAGCGAGTCGTTTTCGACCCAGGAATACACAAACATATAAAAGAATTTGCGCCTATTGCAACAGAGCAATTCTTACCTGACGTGACGCAGACGGTGGCAGAGTCTTTGGAGTCTGGTGGAGTTAGCCCTTCTTGACTTGGTAGTCCTGATCCACCTCAATTGGGATCAGTGAGCCGTTCAGCGTCCGAGGTGATTAAAATGTTCCGATTCATCTTGCCTCAGCATCGGAGATCCCAGGATGCATGTCGTGTCGTCTCGTGATCGTCGCGACTCGAACCTCCGTCCTAGGTTAGAAAAGACTGTCGTGGAGGCACTCGTCCACGCTCTCGATGTAGGGAGATTCAAGAACTGGGGTTGGGAGTAGGAGGACGAGAGACACCTGATGCTGTTCCTAGTGGTTTGGGTATGGGTGGTAATGGCAAAGAATAGAGAAGCAAGGTAAACCTATTTTCTCCGTTCAAGTCGGAATGAATTCGACGCAACCTCACGAATGAAGAGGCTCGGACTAGGAATGAGAAAGAGACTAGGTAGGATAATAGTAAGGAAAGTGTACGTAGGTCTGTAAATAAGAAAACCCACCTCAATTTCGGATCAAAAGACTGAGAGATATTGTTTGAGCGGAAAGGAATTAATATGTTAAGACGGTGAATTAAAGGTGAACGTGTATGAGGCATGTAACGAGAAGTGATTGTGTATGCAAAAGAAAAGGTATGAGAGTGACGTATCTTAATATGTAAGACTCAAACGCACCTGCTCATATAAAGCAACGACAGTAGATAGGGAAAGCCAATGGTCAGCTGAATGTTCATGTTTCCAGGAAGTTGGATTCTTGATAACACCATACGTCACGCTGGTTACCTGTTTCAACCACACCGAGTAATCCTGAAAATTCCAGATAATGGAGTTGCTGTTCAGTTTTACAAGACTCCATACGAATGAAGTGATGTTACCTGGACCGAGCCTGAAGTTGTGTGCTGGACAAAAGATAACACATGGACAAGAACAAACACTAACATTCTTCGGTAACTTGAAGACTTTGTAATCGAGTTGTTGAACGTCGCACTCCACTGGATTTCAACAACTTGCAAGAACTCACCCCAAATTTTGACATCATAGATGAACATCTGCAGTCAGCATTTGCATATTCGCGCCATGAATGTAGCCCAGAAAGCAAAGATGAACGAACACGAACTGACAGCCTAGTCAATTAAGGTTTAAATCCTACATACTTCCACATCCGCAGATCCGGGTGGATTGCCATCATCATTGTCATCGTTCCAGCGGATTGAGAGTCTCGTCGACTCCTCGAACCGTAACCCGTCTGACAAGCGCCTAAGGATCAGAACAGGTAGTACCTTGGCTGTAAGCCACGTTGATACTACGTGAGATGATCAAAGCATACCTCGTTAAAGGCACAGCTAGATACGTTCTGATATGTCCTCAACTATAGCAACGACCAGACATATCACAAAGTTTGCGCACGGAAACTCGACCGCTGATCATATACGGTTAGCTCCACAACGAAGCTTTGATCAGGTGTTGACGACGTGGAAGATGCATCGATGATCGGGCATGCGTATAGCAATATCATGATGTTGATGTGCTCTGATATACTACTTATATCATTGCTCCCGCGGAACCCGTGATTTTCAAACACCGACCTGAGTCACGATGCTTGATACCAACTTGCACTGTGATACTTACTACTGACGATGATGCTACATATATGGCTCTGCTCGTAGATCTCATTCATGAATCACTCATCTACGCAGAGAAATCGAACTTAGCTAGAGCCTACTGTGGTCCAGGAGCAGGTCGGTATCGCTGTCTAGGGCGCAGCCGCACTGCCCTTGGCAAGTACTAGAACCCAAACCAGACAGGGTGCGCGCCGCACTTACTAAGTAGTAGATGGGAGTTGTCAACTAACGCTGTGTTTTCAAACTTAGGGTAGACTGGACAAGACCAAGGGCTTCGGTCTGGCTCTCGGGGATTCCTTCTCTGGAGAACTATCATTAGCATTGCGCCGAGTCCGTTTCTACTGGATCTCCGGGTCATAATGGCTATCTTAAAACCACCTGAAGGCGTGAACAAGCTCCCAGTGGAAACACAGGTGGAACGTGTCAGTAAGCGCTGACCAGTGGACTGGTGAGTTCTTGCTTGCGGTTATACTGATCGTGGTGCTTTTACATGGTCATATCCAATGTGACGAAATACTTTCCTACATCATTATATAACGATATTCTCTCCTCACCAGCTCCCTGATCGGCGGTCAATGCATTATTTTCATCTTACGAGGTCCTGAACAACGCACAGGATCGGTTTGATTGTCACCGGCGTGACTGGCCCATCAGTAAATTTCGTTTCCTTTCTCGTATCTCCTATGGCAATGTGCCAATGATGCATCGGCATGTCAACGGCATCGCTTGGCGTCTAAGGGTCATACTAATACTCATAAGATAGACCTAAGACGGGACAGCTTCTCGATGCCCACGACCCATGAACAACTCTGCTAGTACACCGTTTCATATTATCGATGATAATATGAGTGTGCTGTTTGCATTCCAGAGTGCTCATTATTTAGAAATAGCATGCTTTACACTTCTGGTTTATGATCTACTGACTACCTTCGGAGAGGAGGTGTGTGGTGGCTCATAGCGTTGTCAGGACTTCCCTTCATCATGTTTGCATCCCAGGTTGAATATTTCTGGTCCGGTCCATGGAGTTTATCCCGGGTTTTGTTTTTCTTGGTGGGTGTGGCTGTATTTTCTCTGAAGTGAGCTCTTATCTGACAGAGCTACTTTAGAACCGATACCTTCCACTTGTCGCCATGATGTAAGTCCAATCAGCTGCCGCTCAAGGGGTTGTCCTGACATTTATCTGGTTTCGGACATCGAAGACCAACGAATGTTGGTGAGTACTATGGTTATTGGCTTCAACTTTTCAATGAATGATCGAATGTCTCAGCTCTGTTTGGGGCCGGGATACCAGCTCAGGTTTGATAATTTGTTTCTTACCATTAAATGCGCTCACTAAGTCACATCACAATCAATGATTCTTAGTCGTAAGGCTAAAATTATCCTTCTTAATGGCACATGAACTAATCATTGCATTGTTCAAGGTGCACTCATTGGATCCGCGCTGCATTTGAACTTTCCATAATCGCAATCTGCGTCAACCAAGGTCCTAGTGGTCTCATATAAGTCACCGTAGATTGGCTAAAACATCGCAATAACAGGAATTCTCCTCCTCCGTGTGTGGTACATGTACTCTCATAGTGCCATTGCGCGAACGGTTGCATGTTTCAGCTATGCAGCATGCGTTGTATCATCCCTCACAATGATGGGCTTGAGCCTTCCATTCCTGCAGTCAACCACGGAATCTCTGCAGCTTCAGCGGCAGATAACAACCATTCCAGGATGTTCTGCGCCTTCACCATCGATAATATGGACAGTTTTCGTTCCAAGTACCATCATCCACATGATCTTGTTTGGATTCACGATCACACGAATTATGAAGGTCTCTCGTGACTTGCGGATGGATCAATTGATGCAACGTTTGGTACGAGAGTGAGTTCCATTCTGTGAGTAGTATCCTCAGCCCACTTACCAATTGTTCAGTGGTGGCCTTGTCTTCTTCGTCTCGATGGGTGAATGATGAATAATTCATGCACCCGTCAGCGCGCTAATTAGAACACAGCCTCAGCCACATTTTCCGTAGTCGGTGCTCGTTTGACCAAAGATCCTGTCGTATGTTACCTATCTTTCTCTAAGATCGCCTGCGTGGCGCCTAATACTCCGAGATTACAGATCAACGGGCCAGCAACTTGGTCAAAGTGAATTTTTCCACTCGCATATTTCATCAATGTTTGCTAAGCAGCGTAATTCTTTAGCTCACAGCTAGCGATCAGCGCAGTTGCAGTATCTCGGCTTATGCTCAGCATACACTCCCTCGCTGGGAAGTTGAAAATCGATCAAAATTGGTTATTCAACCCGTCTGAGCTCAGTAGGGTAAGGTGGTGGGCCGTCTCTAGTGATTATGGCCGGAGCATTGTAGTCGAGATGGACACACATGAACCAGTAGCACAAAAGGTATGATGTTAGCTGTGACATAATAAACGGTATATACCAATCAAATATCACCTCTGATGACACAAGTTAAGGAACATGGTCAAATAGCCAGGGACACTAAGCGAGGAGTAATAGTTAGTGATGTCCCTACTGTGATATGCTGGAAAGCGTGCTGGAGGAACAGAGAACTAAGGGCCGTGGCTAAGCCAGGGTGAGGCATCACAAATTTAAGTCAGAATGATGACTTTGAAGGTTTGCCAAGATGCAGGGGGTGTCATTTCATTACCGTTTGAAATTCAACATGGGTCTGCCCCAATAAACTTTAAATCTGTGAAGCCCGGGGTACTGGGGCCCTCCCTATAGACCGTCCTAAACGCGAATAAACTCAGTGACTTTGTACCAACGATATCCACTGACATAATCTTACCGTGCAGGTCAATCCGTCGTCCAGCGCCTTTCAATACTACCGTTCCTGTGCTTCACGGATCCCTCGTATACTTTCGCGTCCTTGCCTTGTTTCTACAGGCACCAGTGTTTGGATGCTTTGAGACGAGCCGAATAAGATGAGCCTGACGCTGGCAATGCTCGCCACAGGGACAGCGGCGGTGTCTGTTTCAACATCAACGTACGACGGAGTCCCGGGCAACTGGCGTCCAATGCGAAAGCCCCCTCAAGAAATTTTCATTTTCGAACCCTACCTTCTGTGTTTGTACCGTCTCGTTGGACAGCGACCATGTCAGGATCCGTAAATTTGTGAGGAGCTACGGAAAAGAAATCATGACCGTCGTGCTTAAAGTCTGTCGATCAGTGTTCAGAACGTTCAGCCCGGACCAGTACAATGGGTGATACGGACTGATTTGTGTCGGGACTATGTATTTCACGAGTAAATGAAGATCTGTTCTGAAAATTGTTCTAAAACTTTGGTCCTGTTTGCACCTAATAATATTAGTTCTCGCATTTAGCCACACATCTGATCGGATCGGATCATCAATTTGCAGTTGGAGGCAGCTTGCAATGTCGAATCTCGATCCATTCATATTACACCTTGCACTCATACTTATATTATACACTGTGCACCTCACCACTATTTATTTTACACCGCCTCTATACCTCCAGTCACTTCAGTCACGCAAGCAGGCGCACACCACCTACATAAACCTTTCCGTCTATTCCAGGTACGGGAAATGTGCTGAGTCCGCAGATTGTACCCACCGTACCTTCGGGATATGCTGAAAGAAGGGCTCCACGACCATGTCGTGTGCTTCATCGTACCTTCCGTTGATGAGCAATGTCGTCGCCCAAGCCTGTCCACCAGGCACTGAGGCATTGGGTCGAGCCTACACAAGTGCTGCTTGTAAAATTCGTTCGTTGTGGCAATATACTCTGGATCCGTTGTTGTATCCACCGCCTCGTGCTTATTCAACGCATACTGTACTTCCTGCGACAACCCCTTCCTCAACTCGTTTGCGGCCTTAACCCACAGCATTGTACTCGCTAGCAAATCAACAATCACCAGTTTCCCGAGGCCTTTTGGTTGGCGGGTTGTAAACTCTGATGCCAGCATCCCTCACCAGCTCTGTTCAAGTACGTTATAGTTGTCATGGATGCTTAAGTGGAGGTTGTGTAGCTCGTCAACGAAGAGCTGCACAGTGTGGAAGTGTACATCTCCATTCTTCTTTGGGAGAGGCGTGGCCCAAAGCGTCCATTGCCGAGTTGATCATGAAATATAACAGGTACGTCGAAGAGACGCGTAAGCTCGGAGAGGATGTCGAGGTATTCGTGGGTTGGACTGAGACCGCCATGAAGTACTACATGCATTCTGCAAACATTGAAGACAAGAGTGGGACGCATGTATGCACTGCAGGAGTGCTGGAATGGCATACCGTCGAGGACAGCGGGTATGGCAATAGGGTGCATTACAGTGATGGAGGCGTGGAAGCGAACAGCCTTAAGGGTCCTGGGCGTCTATTGGAACCAGGCAATGAAGCACAATAAAACGCATAACACACGCATTATAGCTTAAACAAAGACACAATCCATCCAAAGTCCATCTCGACCGTGCTCAACACCATCATCATCCAGTAAAATGTCGAACATCATTCCAATCACCACACCCCTGCAAGAGTTCAATGGCCACGGAGGCAGCATAAATGTAGTCGCAGTTTTTCCCGATAAACGACGGATGGTTACGGGCTCGGATGACAAAACCCTTCGTATATGGGACATGAAGACAGGTGTTGTGTTGAAGATGATGAAAGGGCATCGCAATTGGGTGTCGGCATTGGTAGTATCACGAGATGGGCAATTGATAGCAAGCGGTGAGGAAGGCGGAAACGTCATCGTCCGGCACGGAGAAACTGGTGAATCACTCGCCAAAATCGAAGTACACTCCAAATGTATCTCCTCGCTGGATTTTTCTCTCGATGGAACAGTGCTTGCCACCGGTTCATATGACAGCAAAATGACGAAACTGTGGAATACCAAAACCTGGGAGCAGCAAGGAAATCCAATCGAGTCTGATGCATTTGTCAACTGCGTACAGTATTCACCATCTGGAGAACTTCTTGCCATCGCAACAGACAGACATATCGAAATTTACAATTCAGGCACGAGAAAACGCGTCACATCATTCAAGGCCCACATAGGAGATAACTCGTCACTCGCGTGGACGCCCGATGGCACACGCCTTCTCACAAGCGGCGATGATCTCGATCCTACCATACGCGAATGGGATACAATAACATGGAATCAGGTCGGTGATCCCTGGACGGGCCACACTGACCACATCAATGCCATTGCCATTCATCCTGCTGGCACGCTCGCCGCCTCCGCATCTACGGACAAACGCATGCGTCTCTGGCGGCTCTCAGATCGACAAACCATTGCCGTCTTCAAGCACTCATTCGAAGCGATATGCGTCACTTTCTCCGTGGACGGCAATCACATCCTCAGCGGAGGCGGCGATAATACGATCTCAGAGTGGGCAGTACCTCAGGGTACTCATCCAAAGGCATGTTTCCATCCCTGAGTCATATACCACAAATCGAGCATGCTTCTTGCAGACTATCGCCATCACAACAGCCCGCGATGCATACATAGATGGAGACTTATCTACTGACGAAGAACTACCCACGCAAGATATCACCATGGATGCAAACAACCATAATTCCTACGCCCATCGCTCAAAGGCATGTTTCTGTCCTTCACTCATACAAACCACGATCCGAGCATGTTTTGTGTAGATCCTAGCCATCACGACAGCCCGTAATGCGTGCATAGATGGTGACTTATCTACTGCTGAAGATCTACTCACCCAAGATGTCAACAACGATCCCAACAACCATACTTCCTACGCCCATCGTTCATTCGTTATGGCGCGAAAACACGACTGGGACTGTGCCCTTCGGGATGCAATGAATGTGAGATTTGCTGAACCATCATCGCTCCCTTATGAATGGCTAACTCGATGGTGACACAGTCCATCAACATCGAGCCCTCGTTGTCAGGCTATATCTCCAAGGGTATTGCCCTCTGCGGAAAAGGTCGCGTCCCGGATGCGAGGGCAGCATTTGATGTTGCATCAATGTACACGGACCAAGATTTACAAATCCTCCATTTTCTGCTCTTGATTAAAGTATGTTGCATTTGCCTCGCGTCCCTCTCCACTTCATCGCATATTTCAGGTCATCGCGCTCTTCAATGCAGATCAATATGACGAGGCAAACCTCCTCCTCAAAGAACTCACTACCGGTTGTCCACATGCCGACACTCGCGCATGTCGTATCGTGGAAGTAGGCATCACGCAGCCACGCTGAGTCATCTGCATCGACGCTAATTTTTGCAACTTGCATATTAGGCATATCTACGTGTTCAATTTGGACTCGAAGCCTTGTGTAGCGCACGTCACGACGAAGCCGCTGTCCATTTCACTGCCGCCCTCGACTCCAGCAATTTACCGTCGAAATCGGACATTCATGAAATTTACGAGGATTTGGTGGTGGTACGTCAACACACACCCGAATCGCTTTCATAACCAAATCCCTTGTTCAGCTCTTCGGCTGGGATCTCAAATCGTTGTGGCTCACTGCACATCAGAAACGTTGCGATGCACTCCTTCTCGCAGGCAAACTTCAAGATGCCGTGAGATCATACCGATACATGACGGACAGTATCGACGAAACAACGAGGGTCATCTGCCTTGAATGGTTCAATGGCAAGTCTGGAGTTTGCAATGACATGCAAGCTACAATCCTCACCCGCATTTCACTTAGCTTTTACGGAAAAATGCAGCGCGCCCCTTCTGAGCCGCGGAGATGCCGCCCTCGCTGCAAGCGATTTTGACAGGGCGATTGACTTGTACTCGGCGGTGATCGACCTGGATTCTGCATCCGATGTCGTCTTTGCAAAATGTAGTCAGGCAAAGTTAGGGAAAAGGCTGTGGGAGGACGGGTTTCTCGACGCGCAAAAGGTACGATGGCATCTATGATTTCGTAGCCCATGTTGACTTCCGCAACGCATGCATAGGCTACCGAACTCAATCCTTCGTCTCACGTTGGATACCAGTTGATGCATACAGCGCTTCGTGGTGCGCAACGTTACGACGAAGCCATCGAGGCCTTCAAAATCATGTTGTCCAAGTTGGACGATTCTCCCGAAGCTCAGACACGGGGTAAGCCATGGGAAACTCCTGCATGATTCCGAAATGCCATCTCGTTCTGTAGATCTGCGTCAGCAGTATGTTTGTCCATCTGAAGCAGAAGACGCCATTCAAAGAGCAGTCTGGATTGAACTCGAATATGCCCCGCTGCGTCTACTTAACACCGCCACGGGTCTTTTATGCGATCGAGCGGCCCAGATACATGCCTTCAAAACGAGTGCACAGTATAAGGAGCTTTTGTCATTCACAACGAAGCATTCAGACCTCGAAATGGACCGCATCAAGCAAGTGGTAGCAGCATACTTCCGCTGCGTCTTGCTGTCACACAGGTGGGAAGAGACGGAGGCGCTGCTGCACGACATCCGGGATAAAGATGTGCGCGAGTTGAATGGACTTGGCGGGATCGCGAAACTGCAATCGTTCTGCGAGGTCGCTCGCAATTCTGGGTATCGCTGGGCGTGGATGGACACATGCTGCATCGACAAGAAGAGCAACACCGAGCTTCAAGAATCAGTGAACTCCATGTTCGTCTGGTACCGCCATTCAGCGCTCACTATTGTATACCTATCCGATGTGCCTCCTTCATCCCAACCCGGTGCACTGGCGAGGAGTGTTTGGAACCAGCGAGGATGGACCTTTCAAGAGTTCGTCGCTCCGAAAGTCGTATTATTCTATCAGAAGGATTGGTCATTGTATCTCGATGATCGCTCTTCTAACCACAAAGAGTCCCCTGCAATCATGAAGGAGTTGGAGGATGCGACTGGAATAGATGCACGGAGCTTGATCTCCTTTCGTCCTGGGATGAGCGACGCTCGACAGAGACTTCAATGGGCGTCATCTCGCGTCACCACATTGCAAGAAGACATCGCGTACTCATTGTTTGGTATCTTCGGTGTCCACCTACCTGTCATGTATGGCGAGAAGAAGCAGAACGCGCTCGGGCGACTCTTGCAGGAGATCGTGGCTCGGTCAGGAGACATCACCGTCCTCGACTGGATCGGACAACCTTCCGAGTTCAACAGCTGTCTTCCGGCCTATATTACTTCTTACGCCACTCCTCCACGCACCCTTCCATCCTTGTCCGAAGATGAGATCCAGACAACTATCTCTTCGTTGCGACAAAATTCCATGGCTGTGGAGTTTGCTTCGGAACTCTACGACCGGCTTGATAACACGAGCGCTGCTCGTTTCGCGAACTGCAGATTGCGTCTGCCTTGCATGGCATTCCGTGTCACAGAGGTCGGTCTAAGCTACGATCCATCCCAGGAGACTCGATATGAAGTCAAGGCAGACGGGCTTTGTGACCTGTTGGTCACCACTGTACAGCCGATTGTTCAGTTCTCGCAGACAAGGCCCACTCAGCAAGCCTTTGTCCTTGTCCATCCCTGGGATCGGTCCCTCCTCGAGCTACCAGACTTTACAGATCTGCAAGACGATACGGAGAACGAAGGGGATTATTGGACGCCGCCCTCGTCTCCATCTGACGACTCACCTCGCCGTTCTGTTGTAACACATGAGGTGGACGATCTAGAATCGCGAGCATTGCGGTTGGCTGTTCGCCTTGGGCAGCCTTTTGGGGCATTTTTACTAGCGCGGCAGCGTGGCGGAGAATACAAGAGGGTCGCGTCAGATCGTGATATCATTGCGCAGGTCAAAGATGTGGCTTCTGTCCGAGACCTGATGGACGTCAGGACGATTGAAATACTGTAGATGCATTTTCCTCTGAAAATTAGGGATCTGAGCAGTTTTCATTGGTACTTTCGTATATATCATACTACATGCATATGCATTGGACTATAGTTTCCTTTCAAAGCAGACCCTGGAGACCTATCTGCAGCATTTCTACGTCCGATACCACTAGACTAGTGTCTCAGGCTCATCACCTACCTGCATGCATATTGGTGCTCGGATTCAACTTGAGCTCTAGTCTCGTCACTTCCCGATGTACCATCCTTTGTCTTCTAGAAGTGCGAATCGTGCAGAAAAACTGTCGTACCAGGGTGATCAAAACGTCACAACCACGAGCATCCACGTAACCGGCACTGTACAGGCTACTATATGGCTGTTTTGCACCGCATTTAGGAAAAATGACACCCCCGTGACATAGTCAGAGGAGAATCCCTTACACCACAGAGGTATTTTGACGACGTGGTCTTAATGACCAAACTGATGGTCACACAAATGCCAAAAGTGTGTGGGCAGAGTATTTTTTGCGGATCTGCTCAGTTCTCTACATGAGCCCCTGCCGTATACTGTGCCATTGTGACAGCTGGTATTTCCATGTCTGGTTAACGACGGCCATGCATACGATAGGATAGGTTATAACTTACTAAATGTACCTGAATCGGGACCACCGATGCATCCTGCCTCGCCTCCTTGCTCTATGTATATCCTCAGCAGTCTGCACAGCCCGCTAAATGAAGGATGCACCGCGACGGAGGTGCCCTTCGCCCGTGCACAGCATGTTAGTTGATCGGGAAGCTGAGCATCCAAGCCTGCAAGACCCATCTCTATGATATATTCGTCTGCTCCGTGTCTTCTTATCTCTTCCACGACTTCTCCGGCCTTCTGAAACTTAGCCCAACTCTGATAATGCTCATCGTTGGCCAGATCTATGGGTCCCGCGAATTGCACTCTTAGTACCAGCTACGGCATAGATTTGGTGTTTGCAACGAGTTTTCCTGTGAACATTGTGCATAAATGACGCTTGGGTAGCCGACTTGAGTGAAGCCAGATATCGAAAGCTCAGAGGACCATTGTTGTAATGACCGCCGTTACGGTTTTGTCAGGGACATGGGGTGATAAGATATCAGGAGCGCGTGGTAGTCTGCTGTCTCTGGGAAACGACGATTGGTGCTCTGTTGTTCTAGGATATCCATACTCTCTGACACGATACAATGTCCGTTTCGGAAGCAAATGCATGCTGGTAGATCGGATAAGTCCATACAAATTAGCATTCCTCGCGCTATAATCAGGAAGATGCCATTGTGGTACTCACTCATTTCCTTGCAGCTCGGCAAATCTCTCCTTGGACAAAGGCCATCGGTGATGTTCATTTCTGGATATGCTCTCTCCGTTGACAGAAACCAAGGGAACCTGTGCGGTGTCGACATCTGAATCCTCCCGGTATCATTCTGGGAATTATACCTCGAAGGAGATTCACGCGTCGGTGGCGAACTTGACTTGTGGAGCTGGACTGGGCAGGGATGAGAGAGCTGTAGTAGGAGCGAAGCAGCGAAGTGTATATTCTGAATGATTCACCGGGAAGGAGGGAGTGTTGGATAAGCTAGAGCTGAAGCGCTGACTTTTGACGAAGCAGTTGAAGCCATTTTGCTACTCGGCCCACGGAGGCGCTGGTAACACCCAATAAGAGCATTTGAAAAGCGCCGGCGTCCTTGATCGACGTGTGTTGAAAATTCAGATCTGGTGTGATATTAATACCCGTACGCAACACTTGGCACAGTACTTTAACATGCACGTTTCGTGCTGTGATTAGTTAACAACGTTTCGACTCAAATGAGTTGCAGACGCTCCTCTCTCTGCAGAGGCTGTGTGCGGCTGACACGACATATTAGTACAAAGGTGACCCTGACAGCTCAGAATATTTTTTTCAATCCCTTTCTAGCCTCTACCTAGGCTTTGGCCCTTGCCATAAGCTAGTCTATACAAAATCATCACCTGACAACTCTCAACGTTCAACGTTCAACGTTCAACCTCGCCTCTGACAACAACGAGTCGGTATCGTAAATCCACGCCTCCCAAGTGTGTATACTGCGCATTTCGTATATATCCTTCGACTCATACACGTCACTCATTGCCAAGGGCACCTTACATTTACCTCAGTCCCGCCGAATGAGCACCGCAGATGCACTGACATGTCTGGCGATTTCGCCCGACGGCCAGAAAATTGCTAGTGCTACTGCTCGTTCGGGGGCGACTATTACCGACATATCATCGAAGAATACGCATCAGTTAGAAATGCATGCAGATGCAGATGCACATACGCACGTCACTGCTGTAGCATGGTCTCCTGACGGACGAAAAATTATATGCGTATTGTCAGACCACACGATACGTTGCTGGAATATTACTTCAGCACGCTCTGTAGGACCACCATTTGGAGCACACAACGACCTGATCATCACTGTGGGATTTCTTCCTGACTCATCTCACGCAATAAGCTTGTCAAGGGATGGAGAGTTGCTCGTATGGAACACAGGGAACGGGATAGTCACTCAACAAGTAACAGTGTCAAATGCTTCTCAAACCATTTTCGTGGCGGCTCTATCTGTCGATAGTAGTCTCCTCGTTACTAGCGATACAAAGGAAGGCGTTGCCTGGGGGATACCGCAGTGTGCCCGAATAGCGGAGATCGCACTTCCAGATATACCATTGCTTCAAGCCGCTATTATTCCGAATGATCGTCCCCGAGTGGTGCTTGCATTTGGCAACAGGTCCTTCTGGATATGGGACGCGAATACAGGAAAGCATGACAATGCATGCTTCGAAGGCCTTGATAAAGATGATATCCCCCTTGCCATGGCGGCTTCTCCGGATGGCAAGCTTTTGGCGCTGGAAATTGACGGCGACATCGATCACCCCACACATTTCTATGATATGAAGGGCCACGAATTCACTACTTCCAACATGAAATGTACCCATCCATTTGCATTCTCACTGGACGGCAAGTTTTTTGCAGCCTCAAGCGTGCCCTCGGATTCGAAGGATGGCTCTTGTAAACCAATTATCCGTTCAGTGGAAGAGGCAAGAAACCTTACATCGCGCGTTCGATTCTGACTACTAACAAAGTGAACTAGATTCTTGGTCCCAGCCCTCTTGATGTGAGATCTACGTTTATGGTAGAACACTAAACTCATGGTATGCAACAGTTGTCTGCAACGATTATTCCGAAAGACAAAGGAAAACAACGTTCGTTAGGACACAACCCAGCGTTCTTCGATCAACCGCCACCTTCTGGTAATGCAAAAGGTCGCCATGTAAGACGTCCCGGACTCGAATTCAAGTATATGCTAAAATTAATTTGTTAGATTCGATTTGGATCTGGACCCTCGTCGAGCTCGGTTCACCAACAGGCCTCCACCGGTCGGGAACGGCGTATCTCACCTCTTTCAAAAATTTGGAAACGGATTCGTTATCCTCGGTCTCCCGAGGCAAGGGAAGCTCAACAGGTGTCCTCGAGATCTGCCAATCGGGAACGGCGCATTCCACATCTTGCCAACATCTGGACGCGCATTCGTCACCCTTCATCCCACAGGGTGGTGTCGACTGTCGATGTACCAGCCGCACAAGCTAAAAGGGTACGTCCAGCCTATTCGTTCTCTATAGCACATCTCAGGAAATCCCCAGAGGATTGTAGTTTCGCGTCCGCTTCGGACAGCGACGGCTCAGTCTTCTAGTAGTACCAGGGAAAATGCCCGATCGCAGATGATGTCGACTGAACAAGGCTCGGCACAGTCATCTAGGCAAGCCGGTCGACTAGAACATACGCAAGGCCATATCGATGTAGAGGACCGGACGAGCATTGATTCAGGGATGGTCTATGCGGAGCGTGATACCCAGAGTGTCAAAGCGCATGGATGCTGGAATATTTTCTGGAATTGGTTGTGCTACAAAGGTGAGTTTCTTCACATCTGAAGTGGACGTAGTTAATTCATGCATTGTATCAGCGTTCTGATATTGCTCCGTCTCCTGGACCCTGGTTGACTATGTTCTATGTATGACATGCGCTATGTTGACATGGCAATCGTTGTAATGGAGCTGGCCTATGATCGTGGCGATTAACGAACTAAGATAGAAGGCCGAGAACAATCCCCATGGTCACTAACCCCAAAGGATGTTTTTTATGGGTTCAAATTCAATCTTGACGTGGATTTTTGATTCCGCTCCTGCTTTTGCCGCTTCCTCTCAGCGAGTGTCAGCAAGCTCAAATATTCATTTCGCCGTGCTCCCAAGCGAGCAGCATCTCCCACTTGCGTGCAAACGGCAGTATTCACCCGCCGTCCAATTTCGATGCTAAGCTGCCTGGATCAGTATTACATAGTATTTGCGGGTATCACGGTGATGTGCGCAGCCGATTGCGCAATCAAAGCTGAAACTAAGATCAAGATACGTAAAAATGTGTTTCGAACTTGTCCTTGAACACCGCCGCCAAGGTTCCAGCATTTGTCTGCCTTCATAAGTTTGCCTACACAGGTACACCGCTGTTCACTATGATTTATTATATTTGGCGCAAATTCAGGTCGTAACTTATGTTTATCCAGCGGCCCCAAATAAAACGAGCACTGCACTTGCTAATGAGACCGGCAGACCTTGGTAGATAACGGTTAATAACAAGTATAGCCAGCGGTTTGTGAAGAACTCGGCCCGCTACCGAGCGATCAGTTTGCCTCCAATAATTTACTGTGTTAAAAGGTCGTTCAGCTGATCAGTAGTGTCTCCTTCTCGCTCATACTCGTTACATGTGTGCATGGTACAATTAAGAATCCACATGCCCAAGCCTTCTTCTAGTCTTGATTTTAAACTTGAGAAAAAGCCTAGACATGTGGATTATAAAGTTGACGAGGGGCGTTTATGATATGACTGATGGAGGACTCCGAGTCCGACTTCCTATGCGTTTTACGCACAAGACTCTGTTGCAAAGATTCAACGCACAAATGCTGGATTTGGGGCTGGACACGCCAAAGTTGAAAGACATGGCTACTGGGCGCAAGTTCTCCTTGTCATGGTTCAGCTGCCTTTTGAGCTTACATCAGGTCTCCTCTGAATACTGTTAGCCAGTCTACGTGCAGCCGCGTGGCTATCGCAGAACACCAAGTATTTGTGTGTTGCCACTTGCCCTATGTGTGTGGATTCAATATACTGAGAAGTGAGGGCAACCCTCAAATTACAGTTTTGTGGCTAATTCTTCCATCTGCAAAGCAACGTCAACGCCGAAATGCATGAAAACGGTGCATCAACAACTCACATCTTCACAGTCCGATCGCGGCCCCCGCTGACAACTTTATCAGCAACGAAATCCACACAGTAGACCTCGTCTGTATGACCAGGAAGGTCCGACTTAATTTTGTACGTTTTGAGGTCCCAAATCTGATGCAACAGCACGTCCATCAAACGAATATCTCGCTCGCGTACATGTTAAACTTACTTTGACTGTCGCATCCTTGCTAGCGCTTACCAGCATTCGCGAGTCTGCACTCCACGCAAGTCTATAAACGGGGCCGACATGTCCTCGCAGTGTAGCTACAAACTTGCCCAGTTGCCCAGCACCTGCGAGGTGACAGAAAATTTGAATCAAGTTGCCATCTGACACGCGACAGCCATGTAACGTACCTGAGCAATCCCATAGTCGCACTGCACTATCCCACCCAGCACTAGCTGCCCACCGACCATCGGGGGAGAAGGCGACGTGAGATACTTGCCGTTGGTGGCCAGTCAAACGGGTCAAGGGCTTAGTTTTACCCCCTCCCGGTTCCGCGTTCGACGATGCAAATAGAGACCAAAGGAAGAGTGTGTGGTCGTCTGAACCTGATATCAGTAGCTCTGGTGTTCGTGACACTAGCGCGGTGTATCTTTTGAGAGCGAGTGCTTGAGCTGATGTTTTGTATTAATTAAGAATCTAACGGAAGATAACTCGTGTAGTTGAGAGTTTACCTTCCTCATCCGACGATGGACGCTTTCCGGTGTGATCGAATGGTCCAGTACGAAGTACGAAATCCGTATTGAGAGCAAGAGTGGTGACCCAATGAGCATGGTCTTTCAGAATATGAAGTTGTTTTCCCTGGGAAAACAGCATTAAGTAGTTGCGTGGAGAAGATGGAAAGATATGCCTACCCCTCGTGCATCCCACACTCTGACCGTACGGTCACTACTGGCCGTATAGAGTACTCCATGACCATCCAAACCGCCGCCTCCCCATTTGACAACATTTACGCTTGCAGTATGACCCCCAAGTGTGTATTCTAGTTTTCGTGTAGCCGTCGACCATACTCGCACAGTTCCGTCCTTAGACGAGGATGCCAACCGTGGAGTAGATGGGTTTCTGGTGAGTCAGAAGTAAATAACTTTGAGAGAGATCGCATAGACAATAACGCACAAGTGTACGGGCTCCCATGCCAAGGACGTCACCCATTTTGAATGGCCCTTCATTGCATCGCCCAACGGTTTTCCAGTCTTAGGATCCCATAGCCTTACAAGGCCATCGTGGCCACCACTTGCCAATTTGCGTTCTAGTGGATCCCACTCCACGCACAGTACCCACCCAGTGTGGCCGGTCAACGTGTGCGACGGTGTTTCAGTATAAAGGTCCCATAGGCGCACATGCGTGTCACCTGAACCAGTCGCAAGTAAATTGCCAGTAGGGGAGAATGAAGCACATAAGATCGGTGAGGAATGTCCTGATGTCACAATTACATTAACGATTATTGATGCAAGTCAATGGATAGCTAACAGACCTGAAAGTGTGGCAGAACATCGAGTAGCTGGGCGAACTTTGAATACAGACTGTGGAGCGCAGCGTACTACCAGAACGTCTTCTTCTGAGAATGCATAAGATGCGTGTGCTAGAACATCCACTTCTATCGATTTAGATATCACGATTCGCGTTGGAGCATTTGGTTTCGTTGCCTCCTCAGGTAGAGCAACATGAAAAGCAAATGGTACGTGCTCATCGTCGTCCTGGATCACAAAAAATCAGTAAACTGAAAACAGAGAGAAAGTGTCTAACCTTTGTGCGTAGCTGATTGACGAGTACTTCAAGGCCTTCGCGCGCAATGTTCGCTGGGAGGTTCACAGCAGGTGCTATTGGTATGCCATCATGTTCATTCACAAATTGAACCACGACATTGGGCGATACTTTCAGAGGCTCTGGCTCTGGCTTTGTGATGCCGTGATATAGTTTTGGTCTTTTCGGAGGAGGAAGAAGTGTCGCCATTAGTATTATATCAAACTACAATCTGCAGACGGTTCTAGTAGTATACGAAAATTTGGGTCAGATCAATCGCGGGAATATCTCTCCTAGTATGAAATTAAGTTTTAACCTAAATACAATTTACCCCTGTGGTTGCTCAACAAACTAAACAAGAGCCAACTACAGATCTAGAATGGCAGTAACGAAAATCATTTTCCTGGACATTCTAACCGTTCTTCCAGTGCCTACTTCACCAAACACATGGAAAGTTAGGTCAGTCACAATAGTAGTCAACCACTCTCACAATTTGCTTCATCTTTAGCATTTCCCACAGGCTTACGCTCAACTACAAAGAACTCGCCTACGGAACAAAATGGGTCGAAACGACTGACATCGAATCCGTTTGCAAATCACTCGGAATACCACCTACAAGCATGCTCCCAGACGGGACACCAAAATATACACTCCCAGCACTAATTGATAACACTTTCACCCCTCCTGCCGTGCTCTCAGACTCGAATCCTATAATCGAGTACCTCGAGCGCACATATACAGACCCAGATTCTTCTCGTGCAGTCTGTCCTCCTGCAAGCCGCTCCCTCCATGCCATCTTCGAATATCACGTTGCTCAGTCCATAACGGCACAGTTGTTACCTGTCATGGTCATGCACATGTACGACAAGAAGACCCCACGGGATCGCATCCACTTCCGTCGACGTACCGAAGCGGCATTTGGGAAAAAACTCGAAGATATCGAGCTCAAGGGCAAAGATCGCGAGGAACAGTGGAATAAAATTGAACGCGCGTTTGACCTGCTTGCAACATCTATGCGGGCAAGAAGTGGCGCAGGCGAATTATTCACGGGATCAAATCTATCTTTAGCAGACTGTACCTTAGGAGGTCTTTTGCTAGCTTTGCGCTACGATAGCCCGGACGAAGCTTGGATGAAGGTATCATCTTGGAGCAATGGGAAATGGATACGTTACATGGCTGCATTGTCGAAATGGACAGCTGTAGAGTAATTGCTTAGATCATCCATACCGAACGTTTCTTAGCTTTCTTTCCGTTATAAGTCTGCTACATGGTTCAACACCTGTACATAGAGTTCAATGAAACTCGAGATGAGATCTTGAGAGTTGATGGATTGATAGACTTATCCTGAGTCTGAGTCAAAACGGGTTCTAGTCTCCCCTAGGCAGACCAAATAGACAGAAGACAGTCGTTTCTTCTTTATTCTAGGTTAATTCCGATGCTGTACGAGACTTGCATGCCGTCTATACGAAAAACGAATGGGTAGAGAATGAGTGAGAGGTGAGATTTAAATGGAGTGGCAATGACTGTAAGTGCTGTGCTAATGCTTATGTCCTGCACAAGCTGAAATGGGGTTGCGTAGTGAGGTGGTGAAGGTAGGATTGGATTCGATGGTGGTCAGCCATAGAGAATTTATGGTCCTTGCACCATGTGCCGCACTTTAGTTGATGGTCAAGCTGTAGGCGGACCTGCAGATGATACACATTCAGCCCATTCAGAGAGTGCCAGTCCGAGTATCACTTACGTAGTGAATTTCGCTGTTCCAGACGTAGCTTCTGTGCCCGCCTGAGCAGTGGTGAGGTACTGTGACGTGCTCATGCCCTCGTTATCAATTAGGTGCTAGAAAAAAACACTGTTCACGTGTTCGCGATCACATAACGATTGGCGAGACTTACCGAAAGGAATGGGTAAATGTCGCCCTGGAACGACTTGACTGTACCGCTAGTCAGGAGAAAAGAGTAAACTTGGTTGTATCCATTTGATCCAGAGTACAAGTTCCTAAAAATTCATTAATACGGAGCAGACAATTTCTGCAAATACAAATCAGCACCATTTGTGACCTTCGATCGAGACGTTTTTCGAAATTGGGACAGCGTGACCCGCAGCATTGTATTGTGCAGAGATTGGTCCAGAGTTGACGTTTGCAAGCCAGATCATTATTTCGTTTGCATCCGAGCCGCCAGGTGTGTCAGATGTGAACAAGTCATAGGCGACGTCAGCTACGACCGCTCCGGTGTTCGACTGAGACCAGTGCCAAGTAGACTATGGTGCCAGAAAAATTAGCCTCGTGCAGTCTGCGGTTTCGACGAACTCACAGGCATGTTGGAAATAGTGCTCAGCTGTTGATTGATACCGGTGTTAAGCTGGATATTGGCAAAGCTCTTGACCCCGTTTCCGCCAGTCCAAGTCCAGTTCGTTTTCCAGGCAATAGTACTGCCTTTCATCGACGTGATCTGAGAGGTTTGAGAGCCAGATGCAGCACCATTCTCGCCCCAAAGATTATTCAGCAACGAGTACCGTCCCACATTGATAGAGTCATATTGCCCGCTCAGCGGCGCAGTGTCGACTCTCACATAATGCTTGTGCATGTGGGGCGTGCTGGAAACGAGAGGCACGCATAAGAAGAGCAGAGAGAGAGAGAACATGTCGATGAAGATTGAAGCGAGTCTGCGAGATCATTCAGGTCACACAATTTGTACGCTGCTCGATGCCTAAATGCCAGCAAATGATTGATCATGGTTCCCCCGTCATTCGGCAATGCATATTGACATGATCGAATATGCGTGTGCGACGCCCATTTCAAGGGTTACTTTTGTTTCATACTCCAGTAGTTATGCTGCCAGAAGCGAGGAGCGAGTGTGCAAGTGTGTTTAAATGGCTACTAGATACACTGCAGATATTCAAATTTCAAGCTAGTAGTTATGAGGAAGCTTACCCTTATAGAGACTGCCACACCCCCTGTTCAGATATTCCCTGACATTTAATGTGCTTGCCTATCGTTCCCTAGTAGCCAGTTATTTTGCCGACGCACCTGCTCGCAACTGTCCATCGATTGGGCTGCATGATGTGTTTTAGTATGCAATGCGCCGCTGTTGCGGGCTTCCTGTCTGCTGGTGAGATAACTTGGCCGCAGAAACACCTAGGAACACCAAAGTTTTGGGTTGACGACAGATATGGCGGCGCGAAGTTTAAAATGGTTGTGACAGGATTGTGATGCAACAACTAGTCACAAATTTCATTTCAAGTGTCCACGTAGCTTATTGAATTATGTTCCTTGTTCCTGCAGATTTCTGCCCTAGCAGCTAGTCCTAGTGGGAGGAGGACTTTTAAAGTGTTAGGGTCGGGATCATCAGTGGTCACTCAGAATCACCCGTTTTCACATCCACTGCCTCCGAGTTCCGGGACCCACCACTGGGTCTAGAGATGGCGACGGACGACATAGTACCGTGGCTAGTCGTGATCACGCAAGACTCAATAATAGAACGGTAGCTGGTCGTGGATGAGCTCACGTGTTGTCCGTCAAAACTTTGAGCTCGACTTGGTTTGCTCTGCCGCCTGAGCAAGGAACACGTTCGACTAGAAAGAAAAATCCGGGACGAAAGCCACTATCCAGGATTCCAGCTACCAGTTGCAACATGCTCCCAAACTGAACCATTACCGGCGTATTCAGAATTATCGTGCCAGTCGCGCACAAAATGTCTTAGGGAGTGAAGATGATTCGCTGTAGCACTAGCGACCAGTCCCAACCTGACGTTCAGGCCCTACTTGCTAGCATTCCATTGGCACTGCGGCCCCATTCGGTTACTTCCGAAATATCAGGCAGGCTGAGGTACGCCAATTTTTATGTTCATGTTTCAGCCTACACCAGTAGCACAGACGCTTACTAGTTAGACCCAGAAGTCACGGAATCCAAATGGAATAAGAGTAGCGCGGAAAACTTGAGCATGCAAGCTTGTTTGTGAGAAAAATAGTGATCAGTCTCAATATACCGAAGACATGTGGTGCGCACGCCGAATGCGTAAATAAACAATGTACTGATCTAATGTCATTGATAACAGGTATGGTGTTTAGCAACCGCAAAGTCTTAGGTTACCCGCGAAATCGGTGAGCTGCATTCAGTCATGAACGGCTGGGTCTCAATATATTGTTAGGTTTCCATTGCCCTGTCGGCCTCTACTTCAAACGGCAGTGATTCTTTATGCGTTAGACCGATAGTATCACCGCTTCACCTGCTATCACAAATGTGGTGCATCAGTCTTTACACCTCAAATCGCATTGACTGAGAGTACCTGGTAGATAACGGGCCTTACCAGGTGCCGCCGTGCGGTGCGGGTGTTTGTGTGATGCACAGTAAATTCCATTCTTGTAGTGCGGTCAATGTCGTTTTTGCAGTGCCTTCATATGTATGGATGTCTAGAAGCACCAACCTTCCTGCGCAGCAGAAGTCACTTCGAGCACTGCCAAATGGACGGCGTGCAGTATACCGTGGTTGCCGGTGAGCTTTGAAGCCATAGTTGGCGGGAGGGCAGTGTGGCAGTGCACCGGACACTCCATACGCGCTCCCGACCGGAATTCCACACAGCATGTACGCACAAGGCAATGCCTCGGTTTTCACCGTGTAGATCCCATGGGCCATTGTATGCTGTGAGTTGTGATTCTGCTGCGGAAAATCACTCATCGTGGACCAGAAAAATCATATTGCATGACCGCAATCGCTGTCAAGTAGTTTCAGTTAGTGCCCGGGCCAGCGAAGTATGTTTATTCCTCTCGGAATACTGATTTTCTCAATTCTCCTTTGAGAGTGGATCAATGCTAATGCCCATCGTTGGGATGCTTTCAGGATCATGTTCGTCTCAGATTGGTGATGCTATCGTCGGCGGTGCCTGGACTAGCGCTAGCATTGCGCGTTTAATGATACAATTCGAACCCTGCACCAAGGCCGTGCGATTTTTCAATTTAACTGGCGCTCATCGACCAATTTTGGCCTGTGATGCTAATGATCCTTGCTACATGCCAATCAGCTGACTAGTGACTGGCTGTGATGTTATCAAATTCATCGAATGAACTTCTAATGGGCTCCTATAGGTTCTGGGCCACATTACGCCCACCACCCCGCTGACCGGTTGATCGGTGACCCCAAATCCTTGCGGGTTAGAGGGGGGATAGATGCCGTACGCAACCAAAATAGGTCGATGGCGTCTCTGGATGGTCACGCCCCGCATAGTATAAGTATGGGACTATCAATCACAGTACCGAGCAGTGCTTCGTCTCCTACCCTGCCAAGCATGTCTACCATGGACAATTGCGGGAGTCATACCTTCAGCAAGAGTCGCAAGAAGCTTTCACAGCGACTCTACCGTTCAACCGAGGCAGAAGACTTTGAACAACTGCGACAGATCATACAAGAAATAACTAAAGAGAGTCCCCTCACAAGACATGATGTTCTGATAAAAGGTTCGTAGGTTTAAATAACTCGGGATTGAAGAATTTACTGAACTTCGTTATAGCTATTGGTATCATCAGGCATCTTGATAGAGAGTATCGATCTCTTCTCACAGAACATGTTGCGGCTTTGGCCCCTGCTTGTCCCTCTGGCTCTTCTACGCCACAGTCTACTTTCTATCCATGTGAGTTTGTCGCCTACCAAATGTTGGAAGATGTTGCTGATAATCAAGCCAGCACCGCAACTTCCAGCTGAGAATTGGTCAATGAACCATAACGTACAAACGATGCCGATGCATCCATACATGCTACCTTCTCAATCGTCAAATAACATCGCATACAGCACTTATGACAGACACAACATGTATGCTATGCATAATTACTATGGCTCACCTACCAATCATTGATGCTCACTATCTTTCCATTTCCTTACATTAATCAGTAGACTTGATAGACATGGATGTACACTGCCGGCTCAGTAGCAGATACTATTATTATACAGCGTTTAAACCCCCAATATACGGCTATGAGTTTCATTTAAGCACTGACCCGGCACCAGAACACCGGAAGCATCCGCACAGGCTCTGGCGTCATAGTTTTGGATATAATTTCTATATTTATGATATACCGTGGAACCTGTTACGTAAGACGCGGTGCTCTGCTTCTTGGTAGACTTTAACGCAAGGTTTACATTTCGAGACTAGTTGCACGAAGAATCTGTGTGGATCTTCCGAGAAGCGAAGCCCCATGACGAGTGCGAGTTTAACGTGAATGCACGAGCCTTGACTAAGTTAAGAATGGGTCTGGAAAGCTGAGTCTGTGGTTTTTGTCAGAACAGTAGTAACGATTCTAACGAAATTATCTACAGCGGCGGAAGAAGAAGAAGCAGAACCGGACGGCTAGATAATCGTGAGGAGTTACATAAGAGACATGAAGGACGAGTGCGTGGGATCTCGCTCACTGTTCTCCCTTCCTCCATCTCTCTTCTTGGTTACATCTGCCTGTTTCTGCGCGTCTCTGGCTATTTGATCCTTTTCTGCCGTGACTCTGTTCTTTTGTCTTCCAATACGTACCTCCCCGGCATCTGTCAGCCGTGCCTTGGCGTGCCTCGGGGTTGGAGTCTTCCTCCCTTGGCAAGCACCTGGTCACAGCCCACTGATGTGACGGATTTATCCTTGTCCCTGGGCCATGGGAAGGCCCCTTTCTCCTCGCTTGTCTCTTCCTTCCCTCGCCAGAACCTGAAAACCAAATCTGCTTATTTTCCTGCCCTAGCAACTTCCCTTCTTACACGCGCAATATCAAGGCTCTCCGCCGCCGCTATATAACATTGCTGTGACTTGAATCTGGAAAGTAAAACTAGGATAGTAAAACGATCAGATAAGACTTGATATACTTAACTCTTGGTACACCAACCCCTAGGCCTAAACAGCGATCCGTTTCGAGCTAATCTGTTAATCGGTTACAGTGGAACCGGCGGTTAAGTTGTAATTTTAGTAACACCGTAACGGGCTTAGGGCGATGCCACCGAGCATTATCTGATTACACCCTTTAGATCACTATAGCTAGCCACCCACATCGAACGTAACTCGCAAGAACTTACAGATGACAGCAACAAACATCTTATTCCTGGACATCCCAACTGCCCTCCCAGTGCCTTTCTCACCAAATACATGGAAGGTCAGGTCAGTGTTGATAACACTCAACACCTGTCACCACTACCTCAGCTTCGCTTCCACAGACTCGCACTGAACTACAAGAAACTGACCTATGTCACAAAATGGGTCGAGACGACTAGTATCGCATCTGTGTGCAAATCGCTCGGAATACCACCTACGAGCACATTACCAGATGGAACACCGAAATACACACTCCCTGCATTAATAGATAACACCGCATCTCCTTCTGCCCTTCTCTCGGACTCAACGCCAATAATCGAGTACTTAGAGCGCACATACCCAGACCCCGATTCCTCCCGCGCACTCTGCGCACCCGCCAGTCGCGCCCTTCACGCTCTCTTCGAATATCACGTTGCGCACTCCATAACAGCACAGTTACTACCCGTCATGGTCATGCATATGCATGACAAGAAGACCCCACAAGATCGCATCCACTTCCGTAAACGCATCGAAGCGGCGTTTGGGAAGAAACTCGAGGATTTAGAACTCAGGGGCAAGGAGCGCGAAGCATATTGGAAGAAGATCGAAGACGCGTTTGACCTCCTTGCAACATTTATGCAGGCCGGGGGCACCGCAGGAGAATTATTTACGGGATCGAATCTATCTCTGGCGGATTGTATACTAGGAGGTCTTTTGTTAACTTTCCGCTACACCAGCCCAGACGAAGCCTGGATTAAGATCTCGGCTTGGAACGATGGGAAATGGATACGTTACATGTCCGCCTTGGAGGAGTGGACGACTGTAGTATAAATAGCTTATCAGTCGATAGCAAACGTTTCTTAGCTCCCTCTCAATTATAGGTCTGCTGCGGCGGTCCAACAACTTTGGGAGTTTGAATGGGAAGAATGATTTATAGACTTCGGGTCTGGTACTCTGGGTTTCATCCTAGTCCCCCTATGCAAATCTGGGCCTGATTTTTGAAACACGGGGTAAATTCCGTTGCTATACATGACATCGGTAATGAATGTACACGGAAAACGGCTATCAAAGCGAACGAAGGGATTCAATATGGCTTCAAAAAGGAATTGGCGCTGTACGACACTTCAATGGATATATGTAGACGCCGTGTTTCTTGTATACCGAAACCGGCTTTCAAAGCGAGCGAGCAGGAAACGAGTGGGGTGTTTACTTAAGTAAACGGCAAGTCGAAAGAGTGGGTATATCAGCAAGACCACGTACTGTGGCAGTACTCGTGCACAGCACGATGTGAGTGATAAAGTCGAAAGAATAAAAATGTATCTCTGATGACGCACTGAGTGTAAGAGGCCAAAGCTCTTACACTAGCGATACAAATACCTTCACCATGTACGTCGAGATCCCTACAATGGGCACATCAACTAATTTTAGTTGACAGCCAAGCTGTAGCTGGACCTGCAAACAAAACACATTCAGTCCCTTCATAGAGCGCCAATATATGTATCACTTACGTAGTGAATTGTGCTGTTCCAGATATGACCTCTGTCCCTCCCTGAGCACAAGTAAGATACTGGGTTGAGCTGATGTCCTTATTGTCAATCAGGTACTAAAGACAGAAAAAAATCAGTCCACACGCGTTCATAAAGACACAATGACCGGGAGACATACCGAAAGGAATGGGTAAATGTCACCACTGAACGAGTTGATGACACCACTAGTCAGGAGAAACGAGTAAACTTGGTTGACTCCGTTGAATCCAGAGTACAAGTCCCTGCAACCAAACAAAAAAATCAATGCGGTGCAGATAATTATGCAGATGCAAACCTCACCAGGTGTAACCTTCCAACGAGATGTTGGTCACGATAGGAACAGCTTGGCCCTCGGCGTTGTATTCGGCGGAGATTGGTCCAGAGTTGATGCTTGCAAGCCAGACCATGATTTCGTTTACGTTCGAGCCGCCAGGGCTCCCAGATGTGAATAGGTCGTAGGCCACATCAGCTACGACTTCGTTGGTCGACTGAGTCCACTGCCAGTTAGTCTATGGTGTCAGAAAAAAAATTAGCCTTGTGCGGTCTGCGGTTTCGACAAACTTACAGGCATGCTGGAAATAGCACTCAGCTGTTGATTGATGCCGTTATTAAGCTGAACATTGGCGAAGGTCTTGACTTGGCTTCCACCAGTCCAGGTGTACGTGGTTGTCCAGCCAATATTACTACCGTCGAATGACGTGATCTGAGATTCTTGGGAGCCCCAGGTAGCATTTTTCTCGTCCCATAGATCATTGAACAGCGAGTACTGTCCCGCATGAACAGAGTCCCATTGGCCGGTGAGCAATGTGGTGTCGACAGCTCTAGTATGCACCTTGCGCATGCGGTGCATACTGTGGCGAGACGTGCTGGAGACGAGAGGAATTAACAAGAGGAGGAAGGAGAAAAAAAACATGTTGAAAATGGAATGGGTTGAGTAAGAGCAGAGCATGCAGGTAACATACTTTATAGGATGTTTGAATACGCCAGCAAATGGTGACTACCATTAATCCCTCTTTCCCGCCATGTGGTGCATAACGACACGACCGACAACTTGAGACTGTCGTGACATTGGTACTACCGGTACGCTGGCCGATGATTGTATGTGATCATGCATCGACTCGAGGTGGCCTGCGACACAAGAGTTGTCCGAGTCCTACAGTTATGTTTGAATGATCTGATAAACGACGATTAAGAAGTAGTACTTGCACTTGATTTTGAGGCACCTGGAGGCTGGTACGCCCAAAGTTCGGAGTGATTCCCGCAGATTTCGCCGTGCTTGGCTACCGTTTCCGTGGAAGCATCTGAACAACCGTTGTCCGAACAGATGGATAATACTATCATGCATACTGTTTGGTGGAGTATAACCTGTCTTCTTCAAGTTGCGGTCCCGCGGCCTACAAATGGGTGTGACGCCCACGTCAGGACTTGACTCTATCGGGCCTTCGGACTTGGTCAAGGGCCTGGACGGGTCTGTCCCTCGTTATCTGAAACCAAGTATCTATCACATGCCTGTTACGAATAATCACAAGCTCCTACTTACAGATAGTATAAAGGGTCGTCGTATAGCTATCTGTAACGTTGGCGTTCTTGAATTGACTTGACTTGTATCTGGTTATTCTTGCGCGTCTTAGTAATCTCGCTGTGCCATATTCGAAAGCATTTGCTTCTCGTATCTGTCACATATTTTTTAACCTTCAACAAGCTTAACTCTCTCGTCTTGCCCTTCACTCGGAACGCCGGTCTGATCCACCAGTTGTTCTACGTCTAGGCAACATCTATCCATTCCAACATGGCTTTAACTACCACTACTACCGAATCTCGTATACCCCGGTACCAGCTGCGCGATACACGTGCCCGCAAAGCTACTACCGAGAAGACCATCAAGACAACTAACGCAGAGGCTGGGCCTCTTCGTACTAACAGTGAGTCCGCTCTCTCCTCGCTCGTCTCGTCTCCGGGAGATCCACGGCCTCGGTCCATATCTCCTGCGTATTCCGCCGGACAGCACGGACGCTCGTATAGCGACGTGCTTATGGCGCGTAATCCCCCGATGCCAGGTGCGCTCGGGGAGACACCTGCTCGTCTCCAAAGTGAGACGGTGGAGAGCGAAAGAGAGAAACCGGGGGGAAAGACCCTAGTAGACAATACTACCTCTGTTAGTAGAAATAGTGAGGAAACAGAAAAGAATACTCACTTAGAAACTCCAGCTAATGAGAGGAGTTGGTCACCAGAAAGACCCACGGACACTGGCGACGGCCAGAGTGGGGAATGGACCACTATTGAACGAAGGCGCGCTGCAGGCGCCAGAGGTGTGACCCAGAAGAAGGGTGAGCATCAGAATCTGACCCGGGAACAAGAAAACCTGGTAAGAGAAGCCAAAAATAAGTTGACCCCAGCTGAGAAAGAAAGAGTTTGGACTAGATGGAACATACCTAGTCGTCCGTCATCCGACGGCAGTGAGTCGGAGGAGTCCCAAGTAGCTGGACCCTCCAAGGACAAAGGAAAGGTCCCGGACCCCAGGAATTGGGGCAACGCCAACCTCGATGAGGAAGATATTGACCTGGAGGCCCAACGTGCTGCACTGGCGTCGTACCGAGCAGCACGAGGAGGAGGGCTGGGCGTCAGGGCACAGGAAGAGGCGCTGCGCACATATAAGGCGGCGCAAGAGGCTACCCTGTCACTATATTGCATTACCGTAGGATAGTTACAAGACACCCATAATGCATTTTCGATGATAGATCATGTAATGCATTGTGTAGTAAAATGAATCCTAATACATTTGGCTTCTTGCTGCCGGCAGTTTCAAATAGCCTCGTTGCCAAATACTATATAGCTGGCTTCTCTAGGCTTATTATTGATGTTTTCGTCCCACCATGTCCCTATGCCTTTGTACTACGTGCCAGCAGAATTGGTCCCCTCAGCTACTCACATACTGGCCCGCCATCCCGCACAGGACATATACCCTTGCTCAGCTTCTCCTTGCTAGGGCCTGTGACTCATGTGACTTGGACGATTTCAAGATAAGTAGAAGCCGTTGGCAACCCGCGTCGTCGAGACTCGAGAATCTAATTGATCATTACAACTCTGCAGACCACTCCCAGTCTCCAACTCGACCATTGGCAAAAATCCTCGCAGAAAAATGTTCCCAGGAGATAACCCCTCGAGCGCCCAGGGTGGATCACATGTGTTCACCCAGTTGTGTGTTGCATAATGAGGAGATGCGTGAGATCAATAAAGGTGCGGTGTCGAGTTTGCTCAAATGAATATATCGTTCACGCCCCACTTTCATTCATTAGTACCATCCAAACCAGTGATAGAGCCAGACAGTGATTTCGGGTCAGCACCATTGACCAGGCAATCTTCGCTGTTCTGGAGTCGCACGACCTCAATGTCATCTGTTGGACCCATGGGCACGAAGCGTGCGCCAGACTGCTTAGAACGCAAAGTCTCACCATGTGTACCAGTCATGTAAGTCATAAATTCTCTTCCATCCGATTAATGTATTATATCACGATAGAACTTTCTGCGACACTTCTTTCAATGTCATTGTGTATGCTATTCCTACTATTACTCTGGCTCTTTAGACTCGTGTGATGTTCATATTGTCAATAATAATCTTGTTTACCATCGAGCGAGACTCATACATCAGACACAATAGCATGTCTTCGAGAGCAGCTTGCAGACGGTATAAAAGCCTGATATTCTTCAAGTCTGGTAAGCCAAAAAATCACAAGCTAGTCTGGGAGATGTCGAAAGGTACTCGAATGAACGGACACACTGGGGTGGGATAGATATAAAGCGACTGGTGACTATCAAGTGAAATTGAAGGGATATCTTGACTGCCGACCAAAAAACATGCTATCGTAGGATATGTACAGATATAATAGACCTGAAACAAGTGCTAACCGCACTTCTGTTTTCTACGAGCCGTAAGTCTTTATTTGACAACTATAACATTGCAAGAAAACTTACTTGTTGACGTGTTGATTGGTGAGCTTGGCCTTGCGCTTTGTAGATGAGAGAGTGATTCCGTCATTTTCTTTGCCCTCCTGAGCTCCCGTCACAGCACAGACACGCGCCTTTGATGACCCAATAGCATTGAGTGCCTGTTCACGTGTTGATGGGACGTGACGACGCGCCGTACGGCGAGGACCGCTTGGTTGCTCCGAGTCAGTAGTCAATGGAATGAGATGAACAGACGTGTTTGATGGAGTTCCAGCGGTAACTTCAGCTGGTATGCTTGGAAGTCGTGGCAATAGCATCTGGAGAGCTGTGGATTGTGGTAAGGGGGTAGTTGCTCTCGTACCTGGAACCGTAGATGGATCAGGTAACTGATGATGGAGCGCTGCAGAAGGTGGCAATGGAGGCGGAACAGTGAACTCGAGTGCTCCATTGTTTGGGAGGTTTAGATCTTGAAAAAACTGTGCGAGCTGGTAGTAGTCAAGGTCTTGTACAGGTACGGGAGCAGATGCAACGGTAGTAGGGTATTCGAACAATGGATGATTAAGCGGGGAGGGGGCACCATCTTGATCAGTGAAGTTTGACAGCGTGGTAATCATATTGGTTATGTCCATGCCAAGAACTGAAGGGTCTAACTCCTGAAATTGAAGGAGCGCATCAGACTCATTGTAAAGGTGATCCACGTTCAAGTTGAACCATTCCGAGGTATCCAAGTCAACACCTTGCAGGCCCACTGAGAAGTCCGGAACAGGCGTGAACTAAATGCATTACATGAAATGCATTGGACGGAATGCATTACCGGTAATGCATTATAAATGGTGATCTCATCCGTGAGCAAATACACTTAATGCATTTCATGAAATTTGTACTGACCTCCTGGGGTATATTATAAAGGCCAATGGTAGCATCTTGTCTGTCTTCATCATCACAAACATTCCCGTCTTCGTCATCACAAACATTCCCGTCTTCGTCGTCAAAAATATTCCCATCTTGATTTGAATCCTCGCACTCGTTCATATCCTTGCCGGTAACTAGGGCCTGTGCCAATGCTTCTTCATTCACCAGCGACTGCATATTATCATCGTGAGCTAGTGCCAGACGGTGAGCAATCATGTTACTCTTGCCACCGAGAGCTAATGAAAACACATACCAACAGCTTTCTTCACAAAATCTGCATAGGCAACCTGAACGTCCGAGAACCCAGAACAAGAGGCTGAGAAATCTGCACCAGTGTCTGTTTCTCCCAAGTGGAAACTATGTTGATCGTTATTAGCATACGCCACATTCGTGAGAATTCTGATATTTACTCGACTAAAACGACCTCTCCTGTACTAGGGTTGCGTCCACCAGCAATGCAGGTGAATTTTAGTCCCCCCGTCTTATGGGATAGATGACGGAAGATACGATCCAGGTGCGACCCCAATTCATCGAAAGCTCTATGGCTTCCATCAGAACAAAAAAGAAAATCACGAGCCAGAAGTGCGTACTGTATCTTTGTGTCATTATTGACTTCTTCGACTAACCCGGCTTTGGCCAGCTCACGATTGTGTTTCCACTTGGCGAGCACTTCTTCGTGCTTTTGCTTGACTTCCGTGCGTATTTCATCACCCTCCTTGGCATACATGATACGAGTGACCTCCTTCCGTTTAGCCAGCTTATTACCACGCGAGGAAATCCCTGCCGTTGTAATTGCAGAATCAGCGGCGGCCTTCACACGTGTTTCATAGTGATATTGTGAATAAATTTCGACTTCTTGTGGTGCTCGAGACCCTTTGAGCTCATCGACCCCCCCACTGAATGTGTCATTGAGATTGAGCACACCACGGGAATTGCCTGAACGCGCGAGACGCGCTGTATTGGTCTGCCATCTAAACCAACGCTTGATGACCTATGGTAAAAGAAAATTTAACAAGTGATCATTTATGTGTGTGCTGATGTGACTCACTATCCTACGCGCAGCGATGGCCAGCTTAACAATTTTTAATTGATCGGGGGTAAGGTCTCCTTCAACAGGGACACCATTGTGGTGTAGACGTGTACGCTCGGGCCATCGATGGAAAAAACTGCGGAAGGTATCAGCCCAAAAATTCACAAACATTTTCAGATGCCGAGCTCTGATAAACTCAGGTAGTAAAGCTTTGAGAAACACATCCTCTTCCACTGTTGTCCAAGGCTTTGGACCACGACGAGCCATGGTATAGTCGAGGGTAAGAAAGTGTTAAGGAAGATAAAAAAACTCGTTGTTTGGTATTTAATATGCAGATTAAGGCCCATCCAGACCATCAGACGGGTGCGACTACGGCTGCAGGTGATCCCCATCCCACTAATACAATTCAGGAGCATCTTACGTTCCATATAAACCAATTTTTTTCGCAATATGTTCTTGATTTTGCTCCTACATACATATACATGTTTGAGGGGGCATCCCAACCCATGCAACTTCACTCCGCTTGACTTCAATCACCCTGCGGACTCAGTTGGCACAATATGGATCCCTTTCGGCTCATCAGCACATATCCATGGTGAAAGCTATTGCCGGACTTCCAAACGGTCAAATTAAGCACAAACTTACCAGCTTAATCAAATGACAGTATCAGACCGCATGTAGACAATAGAACAGAGCCAGACGCAACATGTGTCCCATTCGGCAAGAACAAAATGTCCGCGCGCCGCCACACCCACCCCGGGTGCAGCTGAACAGTGCGAAGTCCAGGACAAGTACAGTTCCATGCGATCTATGCGCAGAACATGATCAGTGCCTCCAGAACCACAATCAAAATAGAACAAAGCAGACGTACGATAAGTTCGTGAATGTACTCGTCAAATGGCTCCGACATTCGGAGTTCTTCGGCAGGATCAGACTTGCGTTTAGATTGGAAATGTAATCTAGAGACATTACCTTGCTCGTCCATAAAGTCAATGCTGACGTCTTGGGAGAAAGGCAGCTGCTGCAGACTGAGAACACCCTCCATCAGCGTATCAGTAACTGTATCGATGTCATGCACGCTCTCGAAGTAAGTACCGCCGATATCAGGGGCGCCATATATCGTGTCGTCATCACGTTTCCTTGCCTCAAGGACACGTTGAGGGGGCGGGGGAAGAGGGATGCGGAAGATATGTGCGGATACGAGGTGCGGAAGAGCGTACAGTGTACACGAACCCATACCGAGTATGGTATCCTGAAAATGTCGGTTGGAGATGAGGAGGGAGAGAAGGAATGAGGGAAATGCAACGCACCTCGCTTGGACCTCCCCTTGCATACCTGACTTGTAACTTAGTTAAATTGGGAAAACGCGCGACAATGGCCAGCACGACTTCGTCATCCCAGTCCCCTATAAACAGGGAGAGCTCTTGTACCCTCGACAAGTGGGAGTGCGCTTCTACAAAGTAGAGTGGCGTGAGCACAGCCTCGTCGCGGATATCAAGCTTGATGATGCTGTGTCCAGAACAGATAGCAGAGATGGTAGATAAAGGTGCAGAAATAGCACAGAGGGCTGGAAGAGCCCTTGGTGACAATAAAAGGGCAGGAACGTGGTTTCACAAGATGAGAGTGCGGAGGGAGGGAAGAGTCTCAAGGAATGAGATGAAGCCTGGCAGAACTCTGGAACGATCTTTATGGATGGGGAACTTTATGTCGAGAGCAGTGAGTGGGCAAGGCGGGGAAGAAGGTGGGGAAGAAGGTGTGAGAACCCGATGTAACTAGACAGTGTGGTCATATGTGAGGGTGCAGATAGTGGGGACTTGTGCAAGCATTCGCAGACGGGTACGAGGTTTGCGAGGATTAGTGTCATCATCATTAGATGGGAATACAGCGCGGATATCGAGGAGGGTGAGGGATTGAAGTTTCAGAGAAGTGTGGTCAACATCTATATAGACACCAGTGAAGTGAACGGTGCAGTGCACGACTGCTAAATCATGCAAGTTTGGAAGGTCACGCAAAATAGAGTGTAAATCTTGCGGGAGAAGCATACCACAGAAGACGAGCTGTCTGAGCGAGGTAAAAGACGTGACTTGGGTGAGATTTTCGTAGACGGTAGCGTCGGCAAGGAAGCATAGTCGGTAGGCATCCTTGACTTGGAAGAAGCGATACCTGTTTGTTTGCCGGTTAAGGGGAATAGGTGTCCAGTCGTCAGCTTCCGCCAAGGAAACAACGGCAACAGCATCTTTTAGCTGCTCCACAGGGCGTTCCACGATGGGGGATATACCAAGAAGAAGAGCGTGCGGTAAAGGCTGGATAGAAGATAACGCTGAGTACGCCGTTACAAATGATGTCGGAGACGTCAGAGTCAGATGCTTGTAGAATATAGACACGATTGTCAGCACGATGTACATATATAGAAACTATGTCATTGAGGTCACATTAATATTGTCCGTACTGATGAATTTGCCACAACCCTCCGGGCATCCCAGGACCTTCCCATCATGATCTGCGAACGCGAAGGAATCACAAAGGCCTACTATCTTACAAGCTATGAGGCTAGCTAAAGTGGCAACATCCGCTACCTTATTGATTCCCTCGTTAGACTCTTACTATCAAGCTTACGTCCCATTACGCAATTTTTCGTCCTGGGACGAAAAATGCCGTAGTCACACTCACGGTTGGGTGTCTTCTTTCTGTATATTTCCCGTATTTTGGTCAAGCTATCCAGCCAGGAGCATACCTTGAAGTGTGAGGGAGCTGCGAGGCCAGATGTTTGCGGCCGATTCTGATATGATAAGCTCTCTGGTAAGCCCTTACATTGTATTACGTCTTTACTCGACAACTGTTGTAGTCTGCGTCTGCAATCACAATCATGATGATGGCTGCTCACATTGTTGTTCTTAGGCTGCAACTCCGATGTATGCGTGGGCGCTCACTTCTCTGCTTTCGTCGCAATCCTCTCCTCCGAGACACCAGACAATCGCTGCCATCTCGTCGCACGTCACTTTGGTCCTCCCCACCGTCCTTGTCGGTTTGAACTCCCAGTTGCAGTTGAGCAAGACGCTGTCATGCTAGCTCTTGATGTTCAAGGATACGTATTCAGGCACCTGCTGACTGCCATGTGCGCACGCCACTTCAGCTCCACTGATGGTTCTTTACTCTCCTTTTGCACCGCAATGGCCTCTGCGTGCTCTTTTCATGGTGTCGTCGTAACTAACTCTAACAAGATGATATTAGATGCTTTGCCTGGAGATTATGGTGAGCACGAATTGACGCGCTCCATGACGAAACATACTGACAGCCGGAACAGAATCGTACTTCAGTTCAGACACCCTCAAAGAAGCAGAACAAGTGCCTCCTGACGCACCTGAACAAACTCCAAACTATCTCACAATGTTGACTCATCCCAATACACCTTCGCATCGACTGGACCTCAAGATCGGTGCCGTATGTGCTATTCAACAGAGTCTATCAGTGGAGAAGGGATTGGTACGAAACGTGCGTGTCTGCATCACTGATCTTCATTGCAGGTTCATAGAAGTGCAGATTCCAGAGACACAGGAAAGGCACTGCCTGCCTCGCATTATATTCACGTTCAACCCACCGGGTTCAACTTGGATTGTCAATCGTAAGCAATTTCCATTACGTCCAGCAGCCAGCTTATGCAATGACATTCAACGGATGTCAAGGTCTAACATTACAGAAGGTGGTGCTCGACTTGCGCACCGATCCATTCACACATGGACAACTGTACACTGCTCTGTCAAGAGTGCGTGGTCATAGAGACATTCAGGCGCTGTTTCGAGAAGGGGAGGAAGAGACGATGGCAAACATAGTATATAGACGTCTATTATTTTGAATGGTGGCATAAGGGTCCGTCTGAAGGGTTCGGAACTCTTGTTCAAGCGGTCATTGAAATTACGTGTGCGCAATACCCATCAACTGAGCTTGAAGTGTCGGGCATGATAAGACACACGAGGTACTGCAGGAAAGGGTACATTATCAAACCGTCTCATTGATATTGCTGACAGAATATGTGATGAAAACAATCATAGTTAATTAAGCCTTCAACGGTATTGGGAATAGAACTGTTTCCCCTCTCGCGATTGCGTTCCTGACTGCCCTTTCACCTTCCTCGAGTGAGTCAACCTCAGCATGTACAGCGTGGCAAAGTCCTTCAACCATGGGTGCTAAGTTATGCCTAAAAACAAGACATCAGATGCCCAAACTTCGATAAGCTTGTAACTTACCGTCCACAGAAAACCCCAATGTAGCGCCCACGAGTCACGATGAAGAATGGAGGATGAACTCCATCCTTAGCACTACTGGCTGGCACATTATATAGCACACCGCAGTGACAGTACACCATACATTCATCCACCATTTGATCAGCGGCTATCACATAGAGTCGCTCGTCCTCGTAGACTTCAACATATTCCATATCTGAAAGAGGTGTGAAAGACGGCGTTAAGAATATATATATTGAGTTTAAGGTACTCGAATCAGTGCCCTGAACAATGTCAGCTTCGTAGGCGGGTGGCGCAGGTGGACCTAAAAAGTGATATGATGAATGTAGACCTTTCAATGATGAAGAGAGAGCACGCACAAAAATCATTCTCAACAATGATATTAGCAAGGGCAGATGGCGCAGATACACCTGAAAAAATGAGATGAGACACATTAATTCTGGGGAGGACTCAGGAGATAGTAAGAACACGCACCAAAATCATTCTCAATAACAATGTTAGCAATGGTAGATGGTGCAGATACACCTGAAACAGTGAGATGAGAGACAAATTAATGACGGAGGAGAGTGTGAGAACATGCATCACAATCATTCATGTTATTGATGGCGGATAGTGCAGATACACCTGAGACAGTGAGATGAGAGACACAAACGAAAGAGTGTGACAACACGCACCAGAATCATTCTCAACAATTTTAGCGATGGCAGATGGCGCAGATACATCTGAAATAGTGACATGAGAAATACATCAATTATGGAGGAGAGATCACACACCAATGGGAGGTGGTACACGCCCAGGTACCAAGGATGACAGAGTTTGAACCATGCACAGAGATGCTGGTGGTGATTGCAGGGCAGGGGCTTCAAAGCAAGGCATGCATTTCGTGATCATCTCTCAGCCTTTAAATGAGGGAGCCAGTTCCGCTTTGAGACGAGTCAATGGATACCATAAGAGACCTAATGCATTTCCTGTATGAAATCCGGTTGTTGTTGAAAGCTGCGAAAGTACTTACTGGATATGTACTTGTACATAGTCGGAATTGCATTTCGCGTGATGCATCAGATGAAATGCATCACGCGAAATGCAATTCCGACTATGTACAAGTACATATCCAGTAAGTACTTTCGCAGCTTTCAACAACAACCGGATTTCATACAGGAAATGCATTACATAGGTTATTAATACAGTCTTATGTAAGACGACTCGTCGCTGCGCAAGTATATAGTCATGAACAGTTGAACAGTTCAGCTCTTCATGTCTGGGAAGATAATGTTGGCACTGCCTACTATGATCACAATGCCTCGGCCTGAGGTTGCAATAAGTTTGGCTTACCAATGATCTTATTACTAACAATGGGAAACCATCAGATTGGGTAAGACCGCACTCGCAGCACCTTGAAGCCTGAAGGTGCTGGCATGTCGCGCGCAAGTCGTAAATGAGTCAAGCTGAATGTGTATCTACCTCCCAACCCTGATGCCCCGAGCATCCATGCATCATATACATTTATTTCACACAGTCAAGGATTGACTGCACGAAGTTCACAAATTCTCGCTTCACAGTCCTCATCAGAACAGCAGGTTGATATCCGGGTGGACTTGGAAGAGGGACCAGCCTTAGATTATGGTGATTACTCTTCGGAAGTACAGGAACCTGACTTCGAAGTTGAAGCTGAAGTTGCTACTACGAAGAAACGGATTCGTACAGCGGGTGTAAGTATGTATTTCAATATTTTGACTCGTTAATCACCCTTCTACTAATCAGGATCACCCGCTGTTGAAATGGATAGAAGACCGAGACTTTTTTCTGCAGGAGCTGCTGCGACACGAGGGCCGCGGAGATTATATTCATGACACCATCTGCAGGAGCTGTTACTCTGGCACACCACATTTTCGTTGTAAGGATTGCTTTGGCACCGAGTTGTACTGCCACACCTGCGTTGTTACAATGCATGCTAAAACTCCAGTGCATCGAATTCAGGTATGAGCCTTACAAGTTGATACAGAAGTTACTTAAACATTTCATTGCAGGAGTGGACGGGTTTGTACTTCGTGCCTGTGTCACTGAAGAAACTAGGGCTGCGCGTGCAGCTCGGTCACCCAGCAGGCGAATACTGCTTGCTGCCTCAGAAGGCGGTCAATGACGATTTTACTCTCATCGACTCCAATGGAATACACGAGATCGGCCTTGACTTTTGTGGCTGCGAAACTGCTGAGAGACACACTAAGCAGTTGCTTCGCGCAACCTGGTTTCCAGCAACGTCCACCAACCCACGCACCGCAGCTACCTTTCGAATCCTTGAGCAATATCATCTACTATCATTTGAATCCAAAGTTTCAGGGTATGAGTTTTACCACTCCCTTGTTCGTATGACCGATAACACAGGACTTCGACTTCGAAAGGCATGTTTTCGTCTTAATATATTAGTTTATCTATCTTACACTCACTAGGATCGCTACGAGGCATTTATGCGGATTGTCCGTGAATGGCGACACTTGAAAATGCTCAAGCGAGCAGGCCGAGGTCATGACCCTGCTGGTGTGGAGAACACAGGGAATGGTGAATGCGCTGTGTTATGCCCGGCCTGTCCGCAGCCTGGCAGAAACCTCCCTGACAATTGGGAAGATGCACCAAAAGAAACACGGTTTGTGCGAATTCTATCTATACTCACATGTAACTGATGATTTTCAGCTGGCTATATGGTCTTTTTCTAGCTATCGATGCTAATTTCCGACTCAAACGACGTATGGTGTCGAAAGACAGTGCTGACCCTGGCCTTAGTAACGGATGGGCATATTTCGTGGAGGAGACTGCATACAAGCGGTACTTAGAATCTCATGACGGCACGCTACAACAGGTGAATTATATTGGTCTGTCGTGAGTTGCTCTGACCAGCTGTTTGGTTAGAAAAGCACATGCTCGTCGCATAACGCAGTAAACATGGCAGATACAAAGGTGTCTCAAGGTCTAGCTGCAACGGGAGTCGGTACTATTGATTGTGCGCGACATAATATGAAACTGCCAAACGGTGTTGGTGACTTGCAAAAAGGTGAAAGGTATGTCACATAACAGCTTGCGAGAAACGATTGGCATTGACTATTAGCATAGATACACCAATATGGACTATCTCTTCTTTTCAGCTCTCCGTGGACACGCCATCAGCACACTCAATATCTCATACGATATTGCCTGCCAGTGGCACAAGCATCTCTGGGAGAGGATGTTGGTTATGTCCCCCGAACTACATCTCAACCATGCGGCCAAGTTCGTAAGGTTTTTTGTGCCGAAATTCCATCTACCGGCGCATGTTTTCAAGTGTCAGACTACATTCTCTTTCAACTTCTCTAAGAACGTTGGACGTACAGACGGCGAAGCTCCTGAACGAGGTTGGTCAAACATCAACCCAGTTGCCTCTAGCACGAAGGCAATGGGTCCAGGTTCCCGGAGAGATACGCTCGATGATCATTTTGGCGATTGGAATTGGAAAAAGTCGTAGGACTTGGTGAGTGTTTTGCTGTAAGTACGTACAGTCATATCTCACCTATGACAGGTGTAACACTACTTCGCAAGATGGATGAGGCCAATAAGGAAAGCGAGGCACATCAGATGGTGTTTGAAGAACTTCACGGAGTTTTGAAGCCGGAGACAACGGAAACATGGAAGATCGAAATTGAAGACTGGGAAGACAATCCGAATGACTCGTCAGTCACCAATCCCTTTGAAGCAAAGGTCATTCGTAAGTAGCACAGTACTCCATCTGATCGCAAAGCTGAATACTTGCTTTAAAAGCCATCACGCAAGCTGCAGTTCGTCTCAGACTCGCCCAGCTGGAAGCAGCTGAACTACAGCAAGGGACCGACATTTCCATGCACGCTGACGTGTCACCAAGTATATTCATCACGTCTGGAATTGATCTGGAGAGTGAACAGTACGTACTATTGGCTAACTTGATTCTCATTCTAATTTGTTCGTTTTTTATGACCAGGCGTCGTTTAAAAGTGTATCGCGAGAAGCAGGGTCGCCATCCTACAGATACACAATTAGGTACAATTCAACGACTGCAGAATGCATTACAACGCAAGATCGATACTTGGAGACATCTCCAAATGCTCTACACACCTGCAGCACAGCTTATGGAATCTGGGGCCGAGTTGCCTACCTCAGACGTGATCGAATCCGAAAACTGCCAACTCTGGCTCCCGTCTGCTCTGTGCAGCAAGCACAAGCATTGCAATGAACGACTCCTCGCGACTGAGTGGGACTTGCAACATGCTCAGGCTGGAGACGCCCTCGAAGAAATAAGGCAGAGCCTTCGCCTGCGGGACTACATGTACACTTTCAAAAGGGACTGGATCCGTGGTCAAATTGCAAATACTCGTGCGCAGAACGCCCTTAGTCGTGTTGAGTCCAGGGCAATGGCTGCTGCAGACAAGTATCGTGCAGCTCGTGCAGCTCTCTCAGATCTTGCGTGTGTCCTCCAAAAGGTTGGCTGGGAGCACAGATACAAGGTACTTGACAAGAAGACTGACGTACGCGGGATGTCAGTTCCAAAGCGAGGCGAAAGCGAAGGTCGAAGACAATTATCATGGATCTGGTTGGTTGAAGGCATTGGGGATGACGAAGATGAGACAGTACAAGATAGTAAGCTGGAATGTGAGTTGTGTGAGACGGACACTAATGTTACTTCTAGGTCTCAGGATTGAATGGTGCAAAGCTCGTGCGAGGTCCATGCGATGGGCAGAAGAAGTCGAGTTGCTCCAGGAGGAGATGCGCCGGGTGTCCTGCTTTCTTAAGTGGCATGCAACCTGGTGGCAAAAGAAGATTGCGGCACACGCGCTTGCCACTGCAGCTGATAATGAGGGTCTGAGCGCCTACGCCTGTCGTCAAGCTCAGCTTAGAGAGGATCTCGCTGACTGTTTCAGGAAAAAGTGGGCAGGGTGTAATGCGGTGCATTCAGTAGGTAGTGCATCGGAGACTACGACGGCTTGTGAAGCCGACTTGGACCTGTACCTTCCGGAAATACTGGTCCCTTAATATCTCATCTCATATGCAACTTCGTAGTACCCTCCGTGTTGTATCGCATCGTCTTCGTTGTATTGTGCATTGTCCTCGCATCGTTTTTCCGTCATAGCCTCACGTTCTCGTCTGCTGTCGTCGCAATTCAATGTACATTTGAAGAATATGCTGAAATCGAGTGAGATATGACTGCGACAACAATATATGTGATCTACTCAAGTCCACTGTGAGGTGAACGTGCAGCGTGTACCATTGCTTATCGATATATCCTTATCAGGCTCTTGTAGTTAGCATGAAATAATGCATTTCTGGCTCTTGTAGTTACAACTGTTAATACAATATG